TACCACCGGGTTGGATGGTCCCACCTCCGCACCAACGCGGTGCTGGTGATGGCAACATTGGGTCCAATGCATCAATACATGGTGCCCCGACCATGAGAGGGTTTGGGGTGCCCCGGAACCAGGCACCACCCCAGCAGGAAACGGGTTGTATGGTCAAAGGAGGAAAGAGTGATAGAACCGGGGTAAAGCAAAGAAAGTGTCCGACAATAGTGACTTGTGAGGCGGCCAGAGAGTCTGTCATATCTCGGTCCTATCCTCCAGGCAACGCTGTGGCCAAAACTGGGTGAAAACGGGCTAAAAACAAAAAAATAAAATAAAAAAGATTTCATCCAGGGAAATTTGGGTGAAAATGAAAAAATGGTACCCCAAAATAGTGCCTCATGACCCAGCAGGAGTCCCCTGTCGACTCCCCTGGCTTTCCTCCATGGGCAAAATCATCAAACTCAACTTTTGTGAGAACCAGGAAAAGGGGTCAAAATGGAAAAATTGTACCCCAAAATAGTGCCTCATGACCCCGCAGGAGTCCCCTGTCGACTCCCGTGACATTCCTCCATGGTCAAAATTATCAAACTCAACTTTTGTGAGAACCAGGCAAAGGGGTCAAAATGTAAAAATGATGCCCCAAAATAGTGCTTCAAAATCGGGTAGAGTCACCTGCAAAGTGCCCTTGCATTCCTCCATGTCGAACTTAAAGTATTTGGAGAACCAGGCTGGGGGGTCTTGAGGCACAAAATAAGGCCCACTCAGAGTGCTTGGTGAGCGGATACATTCTTCCATGATTTGCAACAGCCGTTTTTTTTCTGAGTGCACCCAAAAACTGGGTTTCCGATTTCGTGCGTATGGATGAATCTTTTTCACAGGGAAGGGGAAATGAAGCCCAGGGACTTTTTCCCCTTCTCCGTTGCATCAACCATCGGAGAAGGGGAAAAATCGGCCCGAAGCGCCAAACACCTGGCCCCTTCTCCTGTTAGCACTCAGTCATTTTTTTGACAATTTTTCAAAACTTCATTTTTGATTATTTTAAGATATAATTAACCATTTTCTTCACTTTTTTTTGCTTTTCACGGGTGGGGGCGCCTAGCAGGCCGCCTATGAGCACCCAAATTCGGCCTGGATCATCCAGGATTTGTGGGCTAAGCTCCATAAACTGACTAAATCACCCAGAGAGGTCACCTTTCTAGCCCAAAAATATATAATACAAATACATTTAAATAGTAAAAGGTGCAATTGTGCTCTGCATTACCCGGAATTTGATTTTCATAGCCCCATGATAGTGATTAAAAATCATTTTCATGGGAAAAAGTGTTAAAACGCCTGATTAAATTATATGCAGGACCCCAGTGAGCTCCAGACTATGTGCATTGTGTTGGGGAACCATATAAATGATAGAATAAATGCATTTAAATGCAAAAATAATGATTTAAAATCATTTTAGGGGGACAATTGTGGAGAGGAGCCTGAAAATGACTCTGCAGCACCCCGGATAACTACCAGTTCATCTGGTTTAAATGTGGTGGTGATAGTGGCATTAACTAGTACCCAGTACTGGGAGAGAACCAGGCTACAGCACATGTCTTTTCAACCCAGGAAATAGTGCTCAAAACGTGGGTAAAAGTGTGTTCAAAAGTGGGGGAACATGTTTCAAATGACAGCAGACTGCTGACTGCAGGCTGACTCAGTTCACTTGTCTCACACACACCCAGGGGGGGAAAGATAACACTTGTACCCAGGAATAAGTGTTTGAAAGGCGGGGAAAAGTTGTTTGAAATAGTATAATACTTCCAGGGCGCATAACTGCACTTTACAAGCCAGAAATAATGTTTAAATGGTCGGGGAAAGTATTTTTAAATGTCTGGAAGAGAGTTTTAGCCAGTCATTTTGCCCGATATCATTTAACATTGACGCTCTCCTGAAAATGCACAGAATATGTGCATTTTCAAGAGAGCGTCAATGTTAAATGATATCGTGCAAAATGACTGACTAAAACCCCGGAATAAGTGTTTGAAAGGCGGGGAAAAGTTGTTTAAAATAGTCTGATACCTCCAGGGCGCATAACATGGGTAAAAAGTGTGTTGAAAAGTGGGGGAACATGTTTCAAATGACAGCAGAGTGCTGCTTGTTGGCAGGCTGACTCAGTTCACTTGTCTCACACACACCCAGGGGGGGAAAGAGGACACATTGACCCAGGAGAAAGTGCTCAAAACGTGGGTAAAAGTGTGTTGAAAAGTGGGGGAACATGTTTCAAATGACAGCAGAGTGCTGCTTGTTGGCAGGCTGACTCACTTCACTTGTCTCACACACACACCCAGGGGGAAGAAAGAGGACACATTGACCCAGGAGAAAGTGTAATACCTCCAGGGCGCATAACTGCACTTTACAAGCCAGAAATAATGTTTAAATGGTCGGGGAAAGTATTTTTAAATGTATGGAAGAGAGTTTTAGCCAGTCATTTTGCACGATATCATTTAACATAGACGCTCTCCTGAAAATGCACAGAATATGTGCATTTTCAGGAGAGCCTCAATGTTAAATGATATCGTGCAAAATGACTGACTAAAACCCCGGAATAAGTGTTTGAAAGGCGGGGAAAAGTTGTTTAAAATAGTCTGATACCTCCAGGGCGCATCACCAAAAATGTACAAGCCAGGGAAGGTGCCTGAATCCCGGATACTTTAGGTCTGTCACTTAGGGTGACCGCACCACTCCGACGCTCCCGAGAGCGGACGTCCATTATTTGTAAGGCACCTAAGACAGATAAGATAACTTTAACAAGATGCCTGTGTGCTTAGTACCAGGTTGTTATCATACCAGCAATGGGTCTTGCTCGTTCTTTCGCTTCCCGTCTGATGAAAGGACCAGGAGTGTCTGGATCAAGCTAGCTAGTAGCTAGCACGTTAGTTAGCATTACAGCCTTGTCATTTGTATTAGCCTTAACATGAAGTAACATGAAGTAACCCAAAATGTTAAACAGTAAGAGTAGTAGTCATATTTCGTGAACCCTTTGAAGAGTACTGTCACCGGTGTGATCATTCTATAATACACCATTTAAGCCCGGGGGAGAAATGCTAACGCTAACGCTAGCATCGGCGATCTTCTCTACTTCATGCTATCTGCACAAATGGTTGACATTAAACATTAAAACGACCAGGCAGTTCAGAGAGAATCAAAGGAAGGCAGGCAGGCAGCTTTGCATGACTTTCTTCAGGACGTGTTTCATTGTGGTGATAGTGAGGGTAGTCAATCGTTTTGTTGACAAGACAGTAGTGACGGCCATCTTGGTGACGTGTGTTGTTGACCAGAGATGTAGTTCATTGAGCGTTTCACACAAACAAATGTGTTACTTCACAGTTTTACCACACATTTTTATTTTTTTTGACTTGCAAAATTATCTTTTAAATTGACAAACATCATCAGGAGTGACAGTCCGCACACACACAAGACCGCAATTATGGCAGAAGCAAAAAAGCCCAAAATATATAATTTTCACTCCGAGTGGGAGGATGATTATTTTTGTATCTATTCCAATTCAAAGTCCATCTGTCTCTCATCTGCAATGCGAGCGTGGCTTTATCGAAGAAGGGTCATTTAGGAGCGGCATTTCAAAACAGTGCACAAACGCTACGAGACGGAATTCCCTCCTAATTCTGTCCTACGCTCCCAAAAGGTGAGGGACCTGAAAGGACAGCTAAATGCACAGCAGTCCATTTTCACCAGGCCCAACAACAAGAGCAAGGCTGCTAGCATAGCATCTCATCGTGTCAGGCCCAACAACAAGAGCAAGGCTGCTACCATAGCATCTTATCGTGTCAGGCCCAACAACAAGAGCAAGGCTGCTACCATAGCATCTTATCGTGTCAGGCCCAACAACAAGAGCAAGGCTGCTACCATAGCATCTTATCGTGTCAGGCACGTTCTGCGAAACACATGAAGTCTTTCAAAGACGGCGAAGTTGTGAAAGAAGCATTCCTGGAGGCTGCCGACGCGCTTTTTGGGGACAGTAAAAATAACAGTAGCATTTCAACAGGTTTTTGATATAATAAAAACTCAAGTTAGATACCGTTATTAATCAGCTGTAAGTTTTAGTTTGTTTGAACTTATTCATTATAATTATTGTACAAAATGGTATAAGAATGCAAACTTAAATTGATTATAGTCTATTATCAATTCAGGTTAAAGGTAGGGTAGGTAAGTTGGAGAAACCAGCTCGAGATCGCTAGAATTTGAAAATACACAACCGGAGAAAATCTGCCACTTCCTTACAGAGCCCCTCCTCCAACACACACGAACGCGCACATGACCAATGAGGGCACCAGATAAGTTTGTGCACAGATGGAAGGCTGACAGGCAGGTAGGCCATCCAGTTATTTTAGCCGGGCCGGCTCAGATGATTGGTCGTGCTTTTCACAGTACTACAGCTTCCACAGATGATATTTATTTATGGATTTTTTGTCAAAGCACTTCAGATATTCATTGCTATCAGGATGTTAAGAGCATTCCATGGAATATAACAACAAGTGTATCTCCAGCCGGTTTCTCAAACTTACCTACCCCACCTTTAAGAAACTAGTGTTGCTTGCATCCTATTTTAAAGGCATTTCTTTTTATACTCGACTAAAATGCAACAAAAAAAGGGTTTGATTCTATTTGTCTTTTTTATAGCACTTTGGCAGCAGATTCCTGTGTAGCTTCAGATCTGAGTTGTCTTATTAGAAAGCCTAATTTATACTTTTGTAGCAACACTATTTTTATATAATGGCAAAGAAAGGGTTCAGAGTCATATGTGGCAGCACTGTTCAATGTTTCTTGAAAACATGACCCACTTTGTGACGTGTGAATAAAGTCCAACTCTGTATCAACAACACTGTTGTGTAACTTCAGGTAAATACTTGTATGTGTGTAGATTAGAAAGAGGTAAGAGAAAGGATCTGATAGAGTGTCCTCAGCGTTCAGCATCATGTCCTGTTTCCACAGCAACCGTAACCAGGTGTGTGTGTGTGCAGGTGTGCTTCTCTCACCTGCTGACGCCCGGCTGGACCGACGGGTCACTTCCTGTCGTCGACTCTCTGCTCAGCTTCATCGTTCAAGAGCTGACAGACCTGAAGCCCACCTGCAGACAGGTGAGACTGTCTCACCTGTCTCACCTGTCTCACCTGTCTGCCTGACTGTCTCTCACCTGTCTCTCACCTGTCTCACCTGTCTCACCTGTCTGCCTGACTGTCTCTCACCTGTCTCTCACCTGTATGTCTCTCACCTGTCTCTCGCCTGTCTGCCTCACCTGTATGTCTCACCTGTCTCTCTCACCTGTCTCTCTCACCTGTCTCTCACCTGTCTGTCTCACCTGTCTGTCTCACCTGTCTCTCACCTGTCTCTCACCTGTCTCTCACCTGTCTTTCTCACCTGTCTCTCACCTGTCTGTCTCACCTGTCTGTCTCACCTGTCTCTCACCTGTCTCTCACCTGTCTCTCACCTGTCTGTCTCACCTGTCTCAACTGTCTCTCACTGGTCTCTCACCTGTCTCACCTGTCTCAACTGTCTCTCACTGGTCTCTCACCTGTCTCTCACCTGTCTCTCACCTGTCTCTCACCTGTCTCTCACCTGTCTGTCTCACCTGTCTCTCACTGGTCTCTCACCTGTCTCACCTGTCTCTCACCTGTCTGTCTCTCAGTGGGTGCTGACGGAGCTGCAGCAGGATGTGTGTGTGCAGTATGTGAGGAGGATGATGAAGATGATGAAGATGAAGAAGACGAGGGGACAGCAGGACGGAGCTGAGAGGACGAGGACAGACGCCCTGAAGATCTGCGCCTTCTTCAGGGAGTGGGTGAGGCACGCGCACCCTCACACACGTGCACTCTCACACACGCGCACGTGAGCACACGTGCACGCTCTCAGGGTTGCTGAGCGTGCACGTGTTGAAGTACTTCATATATAAATATATCTATATATATATACACAGCAAATAAAGGAGAGAGCTCCAGCAGCTGTCTCTTGTCCTCAGGGCGTCTCTCGGGATCCAGACCGGGTCCAGCAGGAAGTCCTGCGTTTGACCCGGAGCGCCCCCGCCCTCAGGTACACAGTTATATATATATATATATATATATATATATATTAATGCCAGAGCTGGAACTCTGCAGTTATTGAATCAGCAGGGCTTTGGCCTCTTTCCGCACTATGCCCCCCCCTCTTTCCGCACTATTCCCCCCCTCTTTCCGCACTATGCCCCCCCCTCTTTCCGCACTATGCCCCCCCCTCTTTCCGCACTATGCCCCCCCCCCTCTTTCCGCACTATGCCCCCCCTCTTTCCGCACTATGCCCCCCCCTCTTTCCGCACTATGCCCCCCCCCTCTTTCCGCACTATGCCCCCCCCTCTTTCCGCACTATGCCCCCCCCTCTTTCCGCACTATGCCCCCCCTCTTTCCGCACTATGCCCCCCCCTCTTTCCGCACTATGCCCCCCCCTCTTTCCGCACTATGCCCCCCCTCTTTCCGCACTATGCCCCCCCTCTTTCCGCACTATGCCCCCCCCCTCTTTCCGCACTATGCCCCCCCCTCTTTCCGCACTATGCCCCCCCTCTTTCCGCACTATGCCCCCCCTCTTTCCGCACTATGCCCCCCCTCTTTCCGCACTATGCCCCCCCTCTTTCCGCACTATGCCCCCCCCTCTTTCCGCACTATGCCCCCCCCTCTTTCCGCACTATGCCCCCCTCTTTCCGCACTATGCCCCCCCTCTTTCCGCACTATGCCCCCCCTCTTTCCGCACTATGCCCCCCCTCTTTCCGCACTATGCCCCCCCCTCTTTCCGCACTATGCCCCCCCTCTTTCCGCACTATGCCCCCCCTCTTTCCGCACTATTCCCCCACCTCTTTCCGCACTATGCCCCCCCCTCTTTCCGCACTATGCCCCCCCGTCTTTCCGCACTATGCCCCCCCCTCTTTCCGCATTATGCCCCCCCCTCTTTCCGCACTATGCACCCCCTCTTTCCGCATTATGCCCCTCCCCCTCTTTCCGCACTATGAGAATGAAGTAAGGCTTATGTGCCATACTATGGCAAGCCATTTGAGTATTTATTCCATATCCTTGATATCAGACGGCAGCTGCCTGCACTAGTTGGCTCTTTGATTTCACTTGTTAGATATATGGTCAAACTAGTTTGGCACTCTGCTTTACTAGTTAAATAAAACATTACACTAGTCACTCTTTTTCAGCAACTAGTGGCACTTTTGTCCGACTAGTTAGCACATAAGCCTTACTAGTGACGCCAGGAGCAGCACTAGTAGCACCCAGGATCACTCACTAGTTAACTAGTAAAGGCAAAAGGTTCACTAGTTAACTAGTAAAGGCAAAAGGTTCACTAGTTAACTAGTAAAGGCAAAAGGTTCACTAGTTAACTAGTTGACGCCTCTTTTGACCTTACTAGTTAACTAGTGGGGCTCAAAATGTCTACACGTTAACTAGTGAACCCTTTGCCCTTTACTAGTTAACTAGTGAGATACATTTAAATTCCACTAGTGAACTAGTGAGGCTCAAAATGTTCACTAGTAGTACTAGTGGGTCCCAAATGTGCACTAGTCGCACTAGTTGCACAGAATGCTAATGAGGAGGAGGGGAAAGAAGGCATCGAGCTCTCCTATTGGCCCTAAGCTATAGAGCGCCACCCAGCCCAAATAGTTTCTTAAAGGGCCCATGTCATGGCCATTTCCACTGATCATAATTACATTGTTGAGGTATACTAAAATAGATTTATACTGTGCAATTTTCCAAACTCACATTGGTTTCGCATACAGCATCTCTGTCAAGCATGTGTATTCAGCAGTATTCACTTTCTCCACTAAACGACTCGTTGGAGCTCTTGCCCCCCCCTCCCTGTGAGCCTAGTGTGCTCCGATTGGTCAGCTCGGCCACTCGTTCTGATTAGTCAACCACCAGAGAGGCTGCGCCCATGTCAGTGCTTTTCCCGGCTGCTCTCAGCGTAACATCAGTCTTATCATGGCGTCGGTACAGCGGTATATTTTATATACATATATATTTTTAACTGTTGTTATAGAAGAGTGTGACGGCCTCAGGGCCTTTGTCTTACGGTGGGGTGGAGCTGAAGAGGGTAATCAGCGCGATCACGGACACCTCCGTAGCCGGTGCTATTAATCCCAGCGGCCCGGAGTCTCTCTCCAAAGCGGCTGCAGAAGGACGAACTGAGCGACCCTCTCCCCTCGACCACCTGTCTCTGCATTTACTACAATAAATGTGCCGTGGTTTTGTAAACTCGTGTATGTCTCCTTGCCTTTCCGTTGTGGCCTACGAGCTACTCTCATAACAAAGAGTAAGTTATTTTTACCCGTTATAAACTACTACTGTTTGATGAGAAATCAAATCATGGTTTGCTATATATGAATTCAGGGAAGAAAGGATAGGCCTACTAAGTATTTCCATTAAACTTTATTTTTAGAAATGTACAAAATGAACATAAATATACATATATACACGGTATATCATCCATTCCTCCTCCTCTTGCCTGCGCACAGTCGGTGCGGTGCCTTTTAGCACGAGGCCTCAGTAGTAGTAGAATCCCTTCCCCGTCATGGATTGTCCGCCAGGATCTGGCTGGACGAAATCAAATGCAAATCACAAAATATTAGAGAAACTTAGTTGTTTTAGATTCGTTAGTAGTAGTTGTGTAATGAACAGCTTGCCTGCTAATATGCTAACCTAGCTTTGTTTACCTTGGTAGCTAACACGATATGAACGTTAGCTTGGAGGAAAGGCAACTATAATGCAGTGTAATAAAACTACTATGAACAAAAGCTAGTGGTTCATATTAGGCTAGCAATAACGTGTTTATAATTGCAATCGTATACGGGTATTCTGCTACGTTCGGTCATACAATGTAACTTGCATGAATACATTGTTTTGCGCTAGCATACAGCTAGCCTCGTTAGCTACATGCAGTATATGTACGGTCACAATGTACGGTAAATCACAGTACAGTATACTGTATGAGTATTCCGTGTGTGTGACTGCAGACATTCTCCTGCCATGACAAACATGTAAGGCCATCTGCTGACATTGTAGTTGATATATTTAAACGCTAGCAACGTAGCATCACAAAAATGTTTTTTCTGACCGAAACTAGCTCTAGCTCCGTGTGTTAGATCGCTACGCCAGCTATAATGTAATTACGTTTCGCGACTGACCGGCAAATCACCCGGAGTATACTGTCAATAGGTATTTTGTGTGTGAATGCAGACATTCTCCTGCTATGAGATACATGTATGCAAGGCCATCTGCTGATATTAGAGTTGATATATGGAAACTCTAGCAACTTAGTTAGCACTGTGTCAATGGCTTAGCAGTCCAACACAGTTTACACATTTAAACAGTCTTGTTTGATAAATACACAAATAACAATGCAAACTTACAGGTTGTATACCCAGATCTTCCCCTGCTCCAAACGGTCCAAACAAGCTGTGCATATCCGGCCTCAAACTGGGCAATGTTTTGGAAGCTTTCGTCTGTGAAATGCCGGTTCTTCGAACCTCTGGAGGAGGAACACGACGCTGCTGGTGTGGCCATAGCTCTTCGGGATTGGTCCATTTCGTTCCGGGTACCGCATGACATCAGGCGGTACCCGGAACTAAATGGAAGACTCAAATGGGCAGTGACGTATCTCCAACGAGGCGTTTTGGGGAGGTATTTTCTGTGTTAGAGTTTTACTCGCTACAGGGTGTACTTTGAGGGTTTTGACTCTGCACACCGTTTACATGCATAAAAACCTTCATAACACACAAGGGGACGGGTAATAACCGGAAAAGCATGACATGGGAGCTTTAAGAGCTTAAATACACTGTGTTTTAAAATACAGTCATATGACCATATTTACACAAATATAAAACAAAAGTATTTGTGTAATTATGATCATATGACTGTTTATCAAATTAGGTAAGAACATTGAAGACTTTGTTAAAATGAGAAAGTTGCCTTAGGACTGCAGACAGGAATATAGATCCTCTTTAAAACATTTTGTTAAGCTGCAATTTGAAAGGTGCTTGGATTAGCATAGCATTGTGATAACAGAGTGACATTAGTGATGGATAGAAAGAGGAAGTAACCCTCTTCGGATCACAGCTTTGAGAGATCGCCGTGACTTCCGTAAATATTAGTCTTTAAGGCAAAATATGGAGAGGTTGTTTATCATACGGATCTATGGTTATCCTGATTTTAAGATCTGTCCAGTGTTTCTGCTTTATTCATTTCATGAGCGCCGCTTATAAAATGTCCCACGATCACTTCCTCTACTTTTGTGTCTCGAGTGCCGGTGTTCTCACACACAAGCGTACGCACACTCGCACCAACAAAAACACACACAAAGCGGAACAAAGCAGAAACAGAAACATGTATTTTTCTAGGCCAAACACACACTGACTGACTTCCCACGGACTATATGTTAACAGGAGGCACTAAATACCCGACTGATACCTCACGTCTTCGAGACGTTGCTAAAAACATTGCAGGAGAACGCTCTCCCTCACAGAGCGGAACTGACCAATCAGAATCTGGGTCCCGCCTGCTTCATTTGCATATGGCTGACTAGTTAACGTGTCGGCCATATGAACGACAACTAGTTAACTAGTGGATACATATTGCAGCTTACACGTTAACTAGTGAAGGCAAAATGTTCACTAGTTAACTAGTTGAAGCCTGTTTTGGTCTTACAAGCTGACTAGTGAGGCTCAAAATGTGCACTAGTTAACTAGTGAGGTCCAAATTGTCCACTAGATACACTAGTACAATTGTTTTTACCGTACTAGTTAACTAGTTACACACACTTTATCTCACTAGTTAACTAGTGGAGCCTTAGAGGAGTCACTAGTAAACTAGTGACACAGATGTTTTTCTTACTAGTTAACTAGTGGAGGGCATTTTTTCTCACTAGTCAGGTTCTGTTATGAACATGTTAGACTTTGACCTTACATGTTACACATTTTTCTTACATGTAAGACCTTTCCTTCAACTAGTTTGGCTTTTTTTGCACTAGTGAGCAACTGTATGCAACTAGTTAGATGTTGATTCAACATGTATGGCTTTTTCTTAAACTAGTGGATATTTTCAGCCCACTAGTTGTGGTTTTCTTCTCTCTAGTTCAACACAATGACTAACTAGTTGACCAGTGGCGAGCCGTGAGCTAGGCCCTCTGACCCCCACCCCTTCCCTCGAGTTATTACGTCACAGCGTATACTTCAGCGGAATATCAAAACAACGGCCCAGGGTGCAAAACGCATCAATGACAGCGACCCTCTACCACACAAAACAACACCTGTGAACCCAATTTGTGTTCTTTGACATTGAAAATGATATTGCATTGTGTTTGTTACTTTCGTTGCAGTTGTATGTCTTAAGTGTAATTTGGCATGCTTTTATTTTGAAGGCGAGTTCACGCTGTTGACAGGAAGTTGTTGTTGCTATGGAAACAAGAAAAGTTTCACAGCGGGCGGAACTTGTCATAAAGTCCGCGATAATAAAACCCACCCATTTAGAGGGAAGATATGATTGGTCAATTGTACTGTCATTTGACATTACTCTCTCGTTCAGTTACTATAGCAACCCTCTGTGAATCGCAGAGAGGGCCAGACGAGCTTCTTTCATGTAAACCCTTCACATTCAAACAGAGACTTAGGCCCCGGCTCCACGAGGACAAATACGGCAAAACGCATCGGAGTAACGCAAATGCAACCGCAAAAAAACCTTCCGTCCCCACGCAATATACACCGGATTGTGTCAAGCTCCACGAGACAGCTCCGTTTACATCCAAACGCTGGAAAAGCTGCAGTACATATGCCGAGCCTGTACGTGGCGCTGTAACTTCCTCCACAAAAGCAGCAACTTCCTCCACAAAAGCAGCGAAGAAGAATGGTTGTCATGGCTGCACTTCTGTGTATTCTCCGCGGTGGGGGCCGACAGAACCGGGCAGAGTTTTTCGCCGGTCAACGTGTGTTAAAGTTTAAATCTTCCGGACAAAATTATAAAAGTGCCGGTCAAAGGTCTTCATTGTTATTTATCGAGCTTTAAAACAAATGAATAACGACGATATAATGATATATAATAATAAAATACACGGAGCCTCTCTTTTTCCTCTCTTCTGACAGCGTCAGTGTCTGTCTCATGCAGCAGCTGATCCAGTAATGAGTGACCCGACAGTAAAAATGAACATATTTATAACTAGTTTAGTTTGAGAGGTAATTAAAATAGCTAAGGGTGATGATCTGACTTGAAGTGTGTGTTTTGCTCTCGCTGCATCACAGCGGGAGGAGCTGCGTGTCTCCGTCCTGTCAGATTAGACTTCACTCGCGTTTATGTCCATATCGAGATAAAGATAAATAATCTGAATTCAAGGAGGAGCTCCTGTAGATGTTGCACAAAGAACTGTAGCATGGTCAGTAGCGACTGGAGCACGATAGCAACCCTGCGGGGGAGAGGCGGGGCTATGAAAACGAATGACCGTATAGGCGACTCCACGGCCCCGTTGGACCCCCCAGAGCGCTCCGTTCCCAGATCTATCCACCTTTGGACCCGTTGTCGTTTGCGGGGTCTGTTTCTACGTTTCCCTTACGGCGGCGTCGAGCTTAGAGGGCTATACGCATGAGAAATATGCAGATTCAACCCGTTTTCGTCCTCGTGGAGCCGGGGCCTAAACAGGCAGATTCGAAGGATTTATTTCTTTGGAAATGTTATTTTATTAAATCAAGTTTTTTTTCGGTAAAACTAATGAAAAATATAACAAAAATAATATTAAAAAAATATATATTTAAATCTTTTTTTTTTTTTTTTAATGTTTAAAAAAAAAAAGGGGGGCCTAGAGGGCCCCGACGGCTCGCCACTGTAGTTGACATGTACGTGCAACTAGTTAACTAGTGAATTGTTTCAAAGTCATACATGTTGACTAGTGCATTTTTTGACACATCACTATTTAACTAGTAAAGCAGAGTGCCAAACTAGTTTGACCATATATCTAACAAGTGAAATCAAAGAGCCAACTAGTGCAGGCAGCTGCCGTCTGATATCAAGGATATGGAATAAATACTCGAATGGCTTGCCATACCCCCCTCTCTTTACGCACTATGCCCCCCCCCCCTATCCCCCCCCTCTATACGCACTATGCCCCCCCCCACCCCACGCTCAGGTGCTCAGGTGTTTCCTCTCTGCAGTGACGCTCACCTGTCGGCGCTGCTCTGCCTTTGCTCCGGCCAATCAGATGCCAGTGTGGATGAGACCCGCCTCCTCGCAGTCTCCACCAATCAGAGCTCTGCGTTCTTCTCCGGGGTCAAAGTGAAATGGATCCACAAACACAGGAAGTAGAAATCCAGGAGGATATTAACCCTTCAAACTAAAAGTCTTTATTTAGTGTGTGTTTTATTTTGAAAATGCTTTCATATCTTTCCCAGCAGGGATGAGAGGACGTTTTCCTGCAGATTCACAATGTAACCCTGAATAAACTTCACCTGTGTCCTGATGTCCAGGAGTATTTATTAAGTGTGTGCGTGAGTGTGTGTGTGTGTGTGTGTGTGTGTGTGTGTGTGTGTGTGTGTGTGTGTGTGTGGTGTGTGTGTGTGTGTGTGTGTGTGTTTGTGTGTGTGTGTGTGTGTGTGTGTGTGTGTGTGTGTGTAATAAAGCAGCAGGGATTAGTCGGGGCCACACAGACTTTATTATATATTTCAGGTGTTAGACGGTCCGACAGGAAACAGAAACTCTAGTCGTGTTGGAGTCTAGCTCTACACGTCCAGCAGTGTGAGGACAGCTCTGATTGGTTACAGTGAGTGTGAGGAAGGCTCTGATTGGTTACAGTGAGGTGAGGACAGCTCTGATTGGGGGGTCAGGGGTCAGGGGGGGTCTATCTGCACTAACTAAACTGTAGCTGATGTACACACGACAATAAAAGCCTTGAATCTTGATTGGTTACAGTGAGGTGAGGAGGGCTCTGATTGGTTGAATCTTGTTATAGTGAGTTGAGGGGGGGTCAGGGGGGGTCGCAGGTCACTTCTGCTCCGGCATCAGGTCGTCCAGCTCCCCCCCGGCCTCCAGCTGTTTCTCCATCTGCACCAGCAGCTGCACGCCGTCCACCACCAGCTGCACCAGCTCCACCTCGCTGAAGCCCAGCCGGTCCGCGTTGGAGATGTCGAACACCCCCCCCACCGCCGCCGTATCCACGCCACCTGGACAGGAAGTGATGTCACAGTCCTTCAACAACACACTGAGGAGCCGTGGGAGAGTCATGGAGAACATTTAAACATCTGGGACTAAACCAGGGGGGTCCAAACTCTTTTCTCCGAGGACCACAATCAGAAAACATACGAAGGGCCGCTCACTAGACGTTTATCGCCTCATCAGTTCAGTTCACAAAATCAATCAAATGGAGGTCACAGCTCTCCAGAGGATTCATTGTGTTAGCAGCTCATTCCTTACAACAGAAGCTCACATTGTTCAAACTGAGAGGAAATTAGGACGAGTTTATTTCAAGCTTATTATGAAAATAAGTTATTGAGCTTTTCTTTATCAACTAACATTTGTCTTCAGCTTTAACTGACTGATTGTATCTGAAGCTCATTAACACATGAACAATACTGTGTACTATGTGTTCACACCATAGAGGGCCCTCAGTGGGGTAGCTTGATGTTCCATAGAGGGCCCTCAGTGGGGTAGCTTGATGTTCCATAGAGGGCCCTCAGTGGGGTAGCTTGATGTTCCATAGAGGGCCCTCAGTGGGGTAGCTTGATGTTCCATAGAGGGCCCTCAGTGGGGTAGCTTGAATGTTCCATAGAGGGCCCTCTGTGGGGTAGCTTGATGTTCCATAGAGGGCCCTCAGTGGGGTAGCTTGATGTTCCATAGAGGGCCCTCAGTGGGGTAGCTTGATGTTCCATAGAGGGCCCTCAGTGGGGTAGCTTGATGTTCCATAGAGGGCCCTCTGTGGGTAGCTTGATGTTCCATAGAGGGCCCTCTGTGGGGTAGCTTGATGTTCCATAGAGGGCCCTCTGTGGGGTAGCTTGATGTTCCATAGAGGGCCCTCAGTGGGGTAGCTTGATGTTCCATAGAGGGCCCTCAGTGGGGTAGCTTGATGTTCCATAGAGGGCCCTCAGTGGGGTAGCTTGATGTTCCATAGAGGGCCCTCAGTGGGGTAGCTTGATGTTCCATAGAGGGCCCTCAGTGGGGTAGCTTGATGTTCCATAGAGGGCCCTCAGTGGGGTAGCTTGATGTTCCATAGAGGGCCCTCTGTGGGGTAGCTTGATGTTCCATAGAGGGCCCTCAGTGGGGTAGCTTGATGTTCCAAAGAGGGCCCTCAGTGGGGTAGCTTGATGTTTCCATAGAGGGCCCTCAGTGGGGTAGCTGATGTTCCATAAGGGGCCCTCAGTGGGGTAGCTTGATGTTCCATAGAGGGCCCTCTGTGGGGTAGCTTGATGTTCCATAGAGGGGCCCTCAGTGGGGTGCTTGATGTTCCATAGAGGGCCCTCTGTGGGGTAGCTGATGTTCCATAGAGGGCACTCAAACATGTAGGGTTTCTCATCAAGGTACCGGGCGCTACAGAGGAATGTTCTACTGCAACACTCCCCACACGCAACAACCACACACACACAACCACACACACACACACACACCACACACACACACACACACACACAACACACACACACACACACTGATGAGGCTCAGGTAAGCACGGTTAATTATTATATTATTGAGGGACAGGCCAGGGGGGACGCCACTGTTTTACATCTATATTTAATAAGTGCAATATAAGACAAGCTCAAGTTTCTCTGAGGGCCGATTCAAAATGGCGTGTGTGCGTGTGTGTGTGTGTGTGTGTGTGTGTGTGTGTGTGTGTGTGTGTGTGTGTGTGTGTGTGTGTGTGTGTGTGTGTGTGTGTGTGTGTGTGTGGGTGCAACCCAGTCTCACGGCATTTCGTGTTATTAGTCACGATACAACACGATTTTCACCTTTTTTTCGTGTCACACAGAACGATTTTAAATGCAATGTATTTCTATTGGTTGTATGTTTCGTGCCTGCAACACGTCTTTTTGTCCGGTCGGGTCTTGGAAGACCAGAAGCTGTGTGGTTCATAAAAACATGTTCTTACTCAATATCTTACCCTAAGCCTAACCCTACCCCTTTTATTTTAAATTGTATAATGTCTGAGTTTTTTTGCCGTCAGTGAGGAAAAGAAATGTCTCAGAGCCTCAGAATACTGACATCTGTATTTTATGTCATCTTTTTTTTCCTTCTAATTTGTTATTATTTACATTGCTTTTAAAATCGTTCTGTGTGACACGAAAAAAATGGCGAAATCGTGTTGGTGAACACGAATCAATAGATTAATTTCGTGACTATAACACGAAATGCCGTGAGACTGTGTTGGTGTGTGTGTGTATACCTGTTCCTCTCTTCTGCAGACGCAGCCTCTTCAGAATCTCTCCGAACTTCTCGTGCCGGCTCACGTGCGCCAGCTTCACGTGCACGCCCGCCCGCAGCCCCGTGCCCAGATTTGACGGACAGGTAAGCACGTAGCCCAGGTGCTCGTTCCACATGAACTCATGACCTCGCTCCTTAAAGAGGTCCTCGATCTGAGGGGAGAGAGGCAGAGAATGGGTAGACAGGTGAGAGAGGGGAGACAGGTGAGAGACAGACAGGTAAGAGAGTGAGAGACAGACAGTGAGAGACAGACAGTGAGAGACAGACAGTGAGAGACAGACAGTGAGAGACAGACAGTGAGAGACAGACAGTGAATGACAGACAGTGAGAGACAGACAGTGAGAGACAGACAGGTGAGAGACAGTGAGAGACAGACAGGGGAGACAGTGAGAAACAGACAGTGAGAGACAGACAGGTGAGAGACAGTGAGACAGACAGTGAGAGACAGACAGGTGAGACAGTGAGAGACAGACAGGTGAGACAGTGAGAGACAGACAGGTGAGACAGTGAGAGACAGACAGTGAGAGACAGACAGGTGAGACAGTGAGAGACAGACAGTGAGAGACAGACAGGTGAGACAGTGAGAGACAGACAGGGGAGACAGTGAGAGACAGACAGTGAGAGACAGACAGGGGAGACAGTGAGAGACAGACAGTGAGAGACAGACAGGGGAGAGAGTGAGAGACAGACAGGTGAGACAGTGAGAGACAGACAGGTGAGAGACAGACAGGTGAGAGACAGACAGGTGAGAGAGTGAGAGACAGACAGGGGAGACAGTGAGAGACAGACAGTGAGAGACAGACAGGGGAGAGAGTGAGAGACAGACAGGTGAGACAGTGAGAGACAGACAGGTGAGAGACAGACAGGTGAGAGACAGACAGGTGAGACAGTGAGAGACAGACAGGTGAGAGACAGACAGAGGAGACAGTGAGAAACAGACAGTGAGAGACAGACAGGTGAGAGACAGTGAGAGACAGACAGTGAGAGACAGACAGGTGAGACAGTGAGAGACAGACAGGGGAGACAGTGAGAGACAGACAGGGGAGACAGTGAGAGACAGACAGGGGAGACAGTGAGAAACAGACAGTGAGAGACAGACAGGTGAGAGACAGTGAGAGACAGACAGTGAGAGACAGACAGGGGAGACAGTGAGAGACAGACAGGTGAGAGACAGACAGGTGAGAGACAGACAGGTGAGACAGTGAGAGACAGACAGGTGAGAGACAGACAGAGGAGACAGTGAGAAACAGACAGTGAGAGACAGACAGGTGAGAGACAGTGAGAGACAGACAGTGAGAGACAGACAGGTGAGACAGTGAGAGACAGACAGGGGAGACAGTGAGAGACAGACAGGGGAGACAGTGAGAGACAGACAGGGGGAGACAGTGAGAGACAGACAGTGAGAGACAGACAGGTGAGAGACAGTGAGAGACAGACAGTGAGAGACAGACAGGGGAGACAGTGAGAGACAGACAGGTGAGAGACAGACAGGTGAGAGACAGACAGGTGAGACAGTGAGAGACAGACAGGTGAGAGACAGACAGAGGAGACAGTGAGAAACAGACAGTGAGAGACAGACAGGTGAGAGACAGTGAGAGACAGACAGTGAGAGACAGACAGGTGAGACAGTGAGAGACAGACAGGGGAGACAGTGAGAGACAGACAGGGGAGACAGTGAGAAACAGACAGTGAGAGACAGACAGGTGAGAGACAGTGAGAGACAGACAGTGAGAGACAGACAGGGGAGAGAGTGAGAGACAGACAGGGGAGACAGTGAGAAACAGACAGTGAGAGACAGACAGGTGAGACAGTGAGAGACAGACAGGTGAGACAGTGAGAGACAGACAGGACCTGTGTGAGACCGCAGCAGAAGCGCTGGAACACCTCCCTCAGGTTGCCTCCTCTCTGCATGCTGATGACTCTCAGGTGATCCTCCTCGTTCACCCACACCAGGAACGTCTTGTTGTCGTTGTGCCTGCAGAAGAACCACAAATACATGACACTTCATAATGACTCTTCATAATGACTCTTCATAATGACTCTTTCTGACTCATCATAATGACTCTTTCTAATGACTCGTCATAATGACTCTTTCTAATGACTCATCATAATGACTCTTCATAATGACTCTTTCTAATGACTCATCATAATGACTCTTCATAATGACTCTTCATAATGACTCTTTCTAATGACTCGTCATAATGACTCTTTCTAATGACTCATCATAATGACTCTTCATAATGACTCTTTCTAATGACTCATCATAATGACTCATCATAATGACTCTTCATAATGACTCATCATAATGACTCTTCATAATGACTCTTTCTAATGACTCTTCATAATGACTCTTCATAATGACTCTTCATAATGACTCTTTCTAATGACTCATCATAATGACTCTTCATAATGACTCTTCATAATGACTTGTTATGATGACTCTTCATAATGACTCTTTCTAATGACTCTTCATAATGACTCTTCATAATGACTCTTCATAATGACTCTTTCTAATGACTCATCATAGTGACTCTTCATAATGACTATTTCTAATGACTCGTCATAATGACTCTTTCTAATGACTCTTTCTAATGACTCTTTCTAATGACTCTTTCTAATGACTCTTCATAATGACTCTTCATAATAACTCTTCATAATGACTCTTTCTAATGACTCATCATAATGACTTGTTATGATGACTCTTCATAATGACTTGTTATGATGACTCTTCATAATGACTCTTTCTAATGACTCTTCATAATGACTCTTCATAATGACTCTTTCTAATGACTCATCATAGTGACTCTTCATAATGACTATTTCTAATGACTCTTTCTAATGACTCTTTCTAATGACTCTTCATAATGACTATTTCTAATGACTCGTCATAATGACTCTTTCTAATGACTCTTCATAATAACTCTTCATAATGACTCTTTCTAATGACTCATCATAATGACTCTTCATAATGACTCTTTCTAATGACTCGTCATAATGACTCTTTCTAATGACTCATCATAATGACTCTTCATAATGACTCTTTCTAATGACTCATCATAATGACTCATCATAATGACTCTTCATAATGACTCTTCATAATGACTCTTTCTAATGACTCATCATAATGACTCTTCATAATGACTCTTCATAATGACTCTTTCTAATGACTCATAGTGACTCTTCATAATGACTATTTCTAATGACTCGTCATAATGACTCTTTCTAATGACTCTTTCTAATGACTCTTTCTAATGACTCTTTCTAATGACTCTTCATAATGACTCTTCATAATAACTCTTCATAATGACTCTTTCTAATGACTCATCATAATGACTTGTTATGATGACTCTTCATAATGACTTGTTATGATGACTCTTCATAATGACTCTTTCTAATGACTCTTCATAATGACTCTTTCTAATGACTCATCATAGTGACTCTTCATAATGACTATTTCTAATGACTCTTTCTAATGACTCTTTCTAATGACTCTTCCTAATGACTATTTCTAATGACTCGTCATAATGACTCTTTCTAATGACTCTTCATAATAACTCTTCATAATGACTTGTTATGATGACTCTTCATAATGACTCTTTCTAATGACTCTTCATAATGACTCTTCATAATGACTCTTCATAATGACTCTTTCTAATGACTCATCATAGTGACTCTTCATAATGACTATTTCTAATTACTCTTTCTAATGACTCTTTCTAATGACTCTTCCTAATGACTATTTCTAATGACTCGTCATAATGACTCTTTCTAATGACTCTTCATAATAACTCTTCATAATGACTCTTTCTAATGACTCATCATAATGACTCTTCATAATGACTCTTCATAATGACTCTTTCTAATGACTCTTTCTAATGACTCTTTCTAATGACTCTTTCTAATGACTCTTCATAATGACTCTTCATAATGACTCTTTCTAATGACTCATCATAGTGACTCTTCATAATGACTATTTCTAATGACTCGTCATAATGACTCTTTCTAATGACTCTTTCTAATGACTCTTTCTAATGACTCTTTCTAATGACTCGTCATAATGACTCTTCATAATAACTCTTCATAATGACTCTTTCTAATGACTCATCATAATGACTCATCATAATGACTCTTCATAATAACTCTTTCTAATGACTCTTTCTAATGACTTGTTATGATAACTCTTTCTAATGACTCATCATAATGACTCATCATAATGACTCTTCATAATGACTCTTTCTAATGACTCTTTCTAATGACTCTTCATAATGACTCATCATAATGACTCTTCATAATGACTCTTTCTAATGACTCATCATAATGACTCTTCATAATGACTCTTTCTAATGACTCTTCATAATGACTCTTTCTAATGACTCTTCATAATGACTCTTCATAATGACTCTTTCTAATGACTCTTTCTAATGACTCTTTCTAATGACTCTTCATAATGACTCTTTCTAATGACTCATCATAATGACTCTTTCTAATGACTCATCATAATGACTCTTCATAATGACTCTTTCTAATGACTTGTTATGATGACTCTTCATAATGACTCTTTCTAATGACTCTTTCTAATGACTCTTCATAATGACTCTTCATAATGACTCTTCATAATGACTCTTTCTAATGACTCTTTCTAATGACTCTTCATAATGACTCTTCATAATGACTCTTTCTAATGACTTTTCATAATGACTCTTCATAATGACTCTTCATAATGACTCTTCATAATGACTCTTTCTAATGACTCTTTCTAATGAAACGTTATGATGACTCTTCATAATGACTCTTCCTAATGACTATTTCTAATGACTCGTCATAATGACTCTTTCTAATGACTCTTCATAATAACTCTTCATAATGACTCTTTCTAATGACTCATCATAATGACTCTTCATAATGACTCTTCATAATGACTCTTTCTAATGACTCTTTCTAATGACTCTTTCTAATGACTCTTTCTAATGACTCTTCATAATGACTCTTCATAATGACTCTTTCTAATGACTCATCATAGTGACTCTTCATAATGACTATTTCTAATGACTCGTCATAATGACTCTTTCTAATGACTCTTTCTAATGACTCTTTCTAATGACTCTTTCTAATGACTCGTCATAATGACTCTTCATAATAACTCTTCATAATGACTCTTTCTAATGACTCATCATAATGACTCATCATAATGACTCTTCATAATGACTCTTTCTAATGACTCTTTCTAATGACTTGTTATGATAACTCTTTCTAATGACTCATCATAATGACTCATCATAATGACTCTTCATAATGACTCTTTCTAATGACTCTTTCTAATGACTCTTCATAATGACTCATCATAATGACTCTTCATAATGACTCTTTCTAATGACTCATCATAATGACTCTTCATAATGACTCTTCATAATGACTCTTCATAATGACTCTTTCTAATGACTCTTCATAATGACTCTTCATAATGACTCTTTCTAATGACTCTTTCTAATGACTCTTTCTAATGACTCTTCATAATGACTCTTTCTAATGACTCATCATAATGACTCTTTCTAATGACTCATCATAATGACTCTTCATAATGACTCTTTCTAATGACTTGTTATGATGACTCTTCATAATGACTCTTTCTAATGACTCTTTCTAATGACTCTTCATAATGACTCTTCATAATGACTCTTCATAATGACTCTTTCTAATGACTCTTTCTAATGACTCTTCATAATGACTCTTCATAATGACTCTTTCTAATGACTTTTCATAATGACTCTTCATAATGACTCTTCATAATGACTCTTCATAATGACTCTTTCTAATGACTCTTTCTAATGAAACGTTATGATGACTCTTCATAATGACTCTTTCTAATGACTCTTTCTAATGACTTTTCATGACTCTTCATAATGACTCTTCATAATGACTCTTCATAATGACTCTTCATAATGACTCTTTCTAATGACTCGTTATGATGACTCTTCATAATGACTCTTTCTAATGACTTTTCATAATGACTCTTCATAATGACTCTTCATAATGACTCTTCATAATGACTCTTCATAATGACTCTTTCTAATGACTCTTCATAATGACTCTTTCTAATGACTCTTTCTAATGACTATTTCTAATGACTCTTTCTAATGACTCATCATAATGACTCATCATAATGACTCTTCATAATGACTCTTTCTAATGACTCTTCATAATGACTCTTCATAATGACTCTTCATAATGACTCTTCATAATAACTCTTTCTAATGACCCTTCATAATGACTCATCATAATGACTCTTTCTAATGACTCTTCATAATGACTCTTCATAATAACTCTTTCTAATGACTCTTCATAATGACTCATCATAATGACTCTTTCTAATGACTCTTTCTAATGACTCTTCATAATGACTCATCATAATGACTCTTCATAATGACTCTTTCTAATGACTCTTCATAATGACTCTTCATAATAACTCTTTCTAATGACTCTTCATAATGACTCTTCATAATGACTCTTTCTAATGACTCATCATAATGACTCTTCATAATGACTCTTTCTAATGACTCTTTCTAATGACTCATCATAATGACTCTTCATAATAACTCTTTCTAATGACTCTTCATAATGACTCTTCATAATAACTCTTTCTAATGACTCTTCATAATGACTCTTCATAATGACTCTTTCTAATGACTCATCATAATGACTCTTCATAATGACTCTTCATAATGACTCATCATAATGACTCTTTCTAATGACTCTTCATAATGACTCATCATAATGACTCTTCATAATGACTCTTTCTAATGACTCTTCATAATGACTCTTCATAATGACTCTTCATAATGACTCTTTCTAATGACTCTTCATAATGACTCTTCATAATGACTCTTTCTAATGACTCATCATAATGACTCTTCATAATGACTCTTCATAATAACTCTTTCTAATGACTCTTCATAATGACTCTTCATAATGACTCTTTCTAATGACTCTTCATAATGACTCTTCATAATAACTCTTTCTAATGACTCTTCATAATGACTCTTCATAATGACTCTTTCTAATGACTCTTTCTAATGACTTTTCATAATGACTCTTCATAATGACTCTTTCTAATGACTCTTCATAATGACTCTTCATAATGACTCTTCATAATGACTCTTTCTAATGACTCATCATAATGACTCTTCATAATGACTCTTCATAATGACTCTTTCTAATGACTCATCATAATGTCTCTTCATAATGACTCTTCATAATGACTCTTTCTAATGACTCATCATAATGACTCTTCATAATGACTTTTCATAATGACTCTTCATAATGACTCTTTCTAATGACTCTTCATAATGACTCTTCATAATGACTCTTTCTAATGACTTTTCATAATGACTCTTCATAATGACTCTTACCAGATGCCCCTGCCGTCGGGCCAGTCTCGGGCCATGCCGGATGCGAGCAACAGGGGGGAGACGGGTTTGTCGAACAGGAAGTGGTCATCGATGAGCTGCTGCTGCTCCTCCTCCGTCATGTTCTTCAGAGCGTAGTACGTCCCCTTCAGGTCTCCCTCCAGCAGGTCCAGACCTGAGGGGCACAGGTGAGTCCAGGTGTTCAGAGCCTAAAGTAACTAAGTACATTTAATCAAGTACTTAAGTACAGTTCAGAGGTACATGGTGTACTTTTACTCCACTACATGTATTTAATCCCTTTAGTTACTTCACAGATGTGGATTAATGATGTGAAATATAATCAAGTGTTAAATCAGACTTTAGTTCCACCTGGAGTAAATCCACAAGCTACCCTGCAGTATACAAAGTCATTCAAACTAGCTGCACCTTTACCAGCTTTGAGAACACTTTCATGATCAATCATTATAAAACATATCATATATATTATTCTGAAATGGACCAATCTGCACAATGACTACTTTTACTGTCACTACTTTCACTATATTTTGATGAGAATACTTTTATACTTTTACTTGAGGAACATTTTGAATGCAGTACTTTTACTGTAACAGAGTATTCCTACACTCTGGTACTTTTACTTTTACTCAAGTACAAGATCTGAGTACTTCTACTTTTACTCAAGTACAAGATCTGAGTACTTCTACTCTTCTGTGGGGTTCTCAGTTCTCAGTTAAGCTCTGGATCAGTTAGACTCTGGATCAGTTAGACTCTGGATCAGTTAGACTCTGGATCAGTTAGACTCTGGATCAGTTAGACTCTGGATCAGTTAGACTGAGTGATGTCATACTCTCGATGGAGAGGTCCTCGATGGCGCGCCTCTCTCCTCGGCTGCAGTGCGGTGGCAGGCAGAATCCACGGACGCTCCTTCCTGTTCGGACCCGAGAGCTCAGGACGTAATCTGGATCAAGGTCGTCTCCGCCCTAACGGAAAGCACTGATTGGTTATATGACATTTCATTTTTTTGATAAGGGTCCCGCAGTTTGTGTTTGTTTACCTGCAAGTCAGTTTGTGCTTGTTTACCTGCAGGTCAGTTTGTGGTTGTTTACCTGCAGGTCAGTTTGTGGTTGTTTACCTGCAGGTCAGTTTGTGCTTGTTTACCTGCAGGTCAGTTTGTGGTTGTTTACCTGCAGGTTGTCAGCGTTCAGGTCCGTCTTGTGTTTGTCTGATGGTTGGTATCCCCCATGGCGGTCTTCGATCACGGGGTCCAGCAGCTCTTTGAACACCTCGTAGGTTTCCTCGTCTCCGGCGACGCAGCCCACCGTCATGATGAAGGGGTGACCTGAACACAACACAACACCGTCACAACACCGTCACAACACCACCACAACACCATCACAACACAACACCATCACAACACCGTCACAACACAACACCATCACAACACCATCACAACACCATCACAACACCGTCACAACACCATCACAACACCGTCACAACACCGTCACAACACTGTCACAACACCGTCACAACACCGTCACAACACCGTCACAACACCACCACAACACCGTCACAACACAACACTGTCACAACACCGTCACAACACCGTCACAACACCACCACAACACCGTCACAACACAACACTGTCACAACACCGTCACAACACCGTCACAACACCGTCACAACACCATCACAACACCATCACAACACAACACTGTCACAACACCGTCACAACACCATCACAACACAACACCGTCACAACACCGTCACAACACCATCACAACACCATCACAACACAACACGTCACAACACCATCACAACACCGTCACAACACCGTCACAACACCGTCACAACACCATCACAACACCATCACAACACCGTCACAACACCATCACAACACTGTCACAACACAACACCATCACAACACCGTCACAACACCATCACAACACCGTCACAACACCGTCACAACACAACACCGTCACAACACTGTCACAACACCGTCACAACACCGTCACAACACCGTCACAACACCGTCACAACACCACCACAACACCACCACCACAACACCATCACAACACAACACCGTCACAACACCGTCACAACACCATCACAACACCGTCACAACACCGTCACAACGCCGTCACTACACCATCACAACACCATCACAACACAACACCATCACAACACCGTCACAACACCGTCACAACACCGTCACAACACCGTCACAACGCCGTCACTACACCATCACAACACAACACCGTCACAACACTGTCACAACACCGTCACAACACCATCACAACACCATCAAAACACAACACCGTCACAACACCGTCACAACACCATCACAACACCGTCACAACACCGTCACAACACAACACCATCACAACACCATCACAACACAACACCGTCACAACACCGTCACAACACCATCACAACACCATCACAACACCGTCACAACACCGTCACAACACCGTCACAACACAACACCATCACAACACCGTCACAACACCATCACAACACCGTCACAACACAACACCATCACAACACCATCACAACACCATCACAACACAACACCGTCACAACACCATCACAACACAACACCATCACAACACCATCACAACACCATCATAACAACACCATCACAACACCATCACAACACCATCACAACACACACCATCACAACACCATCACAACACCATCACAACACCACAACACAACACCATCACAACACCGTCACAACACCGTCACAACACCATCACAACACAACACCGTCACAACACCATCACAACACAACACCATCACAACACCATCACAACACCATCACAACACCGTCACAACACCATCACAACACCGTCACAACACAACACCATCACAACACCGTCACAACACCGTCACAACACCATCACAACACAACACCGTCACAACACCATCACAACACCGTCACAACACCGTCACAACACCATCACAACACAACACCGTCACAACACCATCACAACACAACACCATCACAACACAACACCATCACAACACCGTCACAACACAACACCATCACAACACCGTCACAACACAACACCATCACAACACCATCACAACACCATCACAACACAACACCGTCACAACACAACACCATCACAACACCATCACAACACCGTCACAACACAACACCATCACAACACCATCACAACACCACCACAACACCATCACAACACCATCACAACACCATCACAACACCATCACAACACCACCACAACACCATCACAACACCATCACAACACCATCACAACACCACCACAACACCATCACAACACCATCACAACACAACACCATCACAACACCATCACAACACCACCACAACACCATCACAACACCGTCACACCACCCATCACAACACCATCACAACACCGTCACAACACCATCACAACACCATCACAACACCATCACAACACCATCACAACACACACACCGTAACAACACAACACATCAAACAATCACAACACCATCACAACACACTCACAACCCAACACCCATCACAACACCATCACAACACAACACCATCACAACACCGTCACAACACCGTCACAACACCATCACAACACAACACCGTCACAACACCATCACAACACCATCACAACACAACACCGTCACAACACCATCACAACACCGCCACAACACCGTCACAACACTGTCACACAACACCGTCACAACACAACACCATCACAACACTGTCACAACACCGTCACAACACCGTCACAACACCATCACAACAAAACAAAAAATAACCTGGACACATCTGTTTTTGACAATTTTCGACCTATCTCTAAACTTCCTTTTATGTCCAAATCTTTAGAAAAAGTGGTACTGAAGCAGTTGCAGTCTTTCTTAAATGTGCATGGCATTCTTGAGGTATTCCAGTCTGGGTTTAAACCCCTCCACAGCACTGAATCTGCTCTTTAAAAAGTGTTTCATGACCTGTTTTTAGCTACTGACTCTATACTTTTATAAGAACAGCATTTTCCCCCTGCTTACACGTATATGCCGTGAGCTGATTATCGAGCCTTCATTGTAACCGTTGCAGGTACACTGTGTGTGTGCGTGGGGAGTGTTGCAGTAGAAAGTTCCTCTGTAGACCGGTACATTAATGGGAAACCCTAAATGTTTGAGCACCCTCTATGAAACGTCAAGCTACTCCACAGCACCCCCAAAATAAATCTCTGGCGCCGCCACTGAGCCTGACTATTTGTGTTGGGGGGGGCCCGACTTTTTTTTTTCTCCAAAGGGGGGACCTGACAGAAAATGTTTGAGAACCACTGGCCTAATCCAAAACATACGCGCTCTCGCTAAGCGGTCCTACGACGCGGGTTATCAAGTGGATCGCTCAAGCCAGCCGTGTCCTATCTAGTTAGGTGTGCGTTCACATGAAATGCCTTTGAAGACCACTTTGGAGAGACTACAGAGCCAAGGTAAAAATGTTAGCATTTTAGCTACCTAGCGTCACCTGTTTTGATGTCTGTTTTTGTTTATAACGTCGCAAATTCGTATAATTCAGTGATAATGAGGGTACCCATCGATTCTGTGTCACCTCACGATGTGAATCGATGTCATGGATGTGGAGACATTTTCGGTGCAGAAATCTGTTAGCATGTTTCGCTCGTTGCTAATTCAGAGGCTCAGTGTTAGCATTGTGGGTTTTCTTTTGAAAAATAAATAAAAATGATGAGTTAGATGAGTTTCTTCCCGTTACATGGAAATAAAACATTCATAGTTTATTAAATGAACATGCCCTCAGACACTGTTTCCTGCAAGATGTTGCGGGCAGTGCCCCGGTACCGGGGTCTCTCGGGCTTAACAAGTTAAACAGTGAAGTCCAGAACCCGAGGAGACAAGCAACCCCTCCCTGTCCTGGGGAGGGACTATCTGAGGTGAGCTGATGGAGGGGGGGGGGGGGCGGGGTATCTGAGGTGAGCTGATGGAGGGGGGGTATCTGAGGTGAGCTGATGGAGGGGGGGTATCTGAGGTGAGCTGATGGGGGGTAGCTGGATAATGTGCTCGACTGACTGATCATCAGCAGACTCAGAACCAATGGTTTCAGAGAAGGAGGCGGGCGGGACATGGTTCTGGGTTCTGGGGGTCTGGTTTGTGGGGGGGTCAGTACCTGGGTTCGGGGTCTGGGTCTGGTTTGGGGGTTAGTACCTGGGTTGGGGGTCTGGGTCTGGGGGGAGGGGGGGTCAGTACCTGGGTTGGGGGTCTGGTTTGGGGGGTCAGTATCTGGTTTAGGGGTCTTGGGGGGTCCTGGGGGGTCTCAGTACCTGGGTTGTCCACGCCGGTCTGGATCAGGTCGTCCAGGGTGAACCCGCTGGGCGTCTCCTTGTCTCTCAGGCTCTCGTAGAGGTCAGGGGTCAGGACCTTGGCCATGTGGTTGTTGTGCTGGCTGAGGTCGGGGTACTCCTGCTCCGAAGAGAACTTCATCTTCAGCTGGTTGTGCATGGTGGGGATGACCTGGGAACAGATCAATCAATCAATACTGATCAACTGGTTCGCACCTGTCCTCTAGAGAGAGAGTGAGAGAGGAGTGAGAGAGGAGTGAGAGAGAGAGTGAGAGAGGAGTGAGAGAGGAGTGAGAGAGGAGTGAGAGAGGAGTATCTGCAGTGTATTAATGTCCCCCTGTCTCAGCATGAATAAAACAGGTTCTGAATGAATAGTTAATGCAGAGCCCCCCCCCTGCAGAGCCCCCCCCCCTGCAGTGACGCAGCTTTAACCTTCAGCTGCTGCACAGCATGAGGACGTCTGTCTCCGCATTACAGAGGACGCTCCATGGACGACTGAAAACCCAATCTGATCAGGGACTCTAGTGTCCTTCAGGAGCTCTTTGTCCAATCAGAGCATCACCAGCTGTGAGAGAGACATTATAACACGGTGAGGGACATTATAACACGGTGAGGGACATTATAACACGGTGAGGACATTATAACACGGTGAGGGACATTATAACACGGTGAGGGACATTATAACACGGTGAGGGACATTATAACACGGTGAGAGACATTATAACACGGTGAGAGACATTATAACACGGTGAGGACATTATAACACGGTGAGAGACATTATAACACGGTGAGAGACATTATAACACGGTGAGAGACATTATAACACGGTGAGGGACATTATAACACGGTGAGAGACATTATAACACGGTGAGAGACATTATAACACGGTGAGAGACATTATAACACGGTGAGGGACATTATAACACGGTGAGAGACATTATAACACGGTGAGAGACATTATAACACGGTGAGAGACATTATAACACGGTGAGGGACATTATAACACGGTGAGAGACATTATAACACGGTGAGAGACATTATAACACGGTGAGAGACATTATAACACGGTGAGGGACATTATAACACGGTGAGGGACATTATAACACGGTGAGAGACATTATAACACGGTGAGGGACATTATAACACGGTGAGAGACATTATAACACGGAGAGAGACATTATAACACGGTGAGGGACATTATAACACGGTGAGAGACATTATAACACGGTGAGGGACATTATAACACGGTGAGAGACATTATAACACGGTGAGAGACATTATAACACAGTGAGGGACATTATAACACAGTGAGGGACATTATAACACGGTGAGAGACATTATAACACGGTGAGAGACATTATAACACAGTGCAGGACAGACAGAAGACGCTGCAGCACAGAGACAGGTCTGTGTGTGCTGCGCAACACCTGCAGACAGGGCTGCAAGGTCGTTGGGATGCAGAGAGAGAGACAGACAGACAGTGAGACAGAGAGACAGACAGACAGACAGAAACACAGACAGACAGACAGACAGAGAGAAACACAGACAGACAGACAGACAGAGAGAAACACAGACAGACAGACAGACAGAGAGAAACACAGACAGACAGACAGACAGACAGATAGACAGAGAGAAACACAGACAGACAGACAGACAGACAGACAGAGAGAAACACAGACAGACAGACAGACAGACAGACAGACAGACAGTGAGACAGACAGACAGTGAGACAGACAGACAGTGAGACAGACAGACAGACAGACAGGCAGACAGTGAGACAGACAGACAGACAGACAGACAGACAGACAGACAGACAGGCAGTATGTCTGTCCCCCTGCTGCAGTGATGGAGCTGCGCTGCGATTGGTCGATGGAGGAGGTCTTACCTGTGTTTACAGTCTGAGGCTCTGCTGCAGAGAGAAGCTGCGCTCGGCCTTTTATACCCGCCCCCTGCTCCTGATTGGCTCCTATTTACAGTCCATTCATCCCATTGGACGGAGGTCACGTGATGCAGGTGCAGCTCACAGCACAGAGGATGGTGCAGCATTGTTATTATTATTGTTATTATTGTTATTGTCATTATTATTGTTATTATTGTTATTGTTATTATTATTATTGATTATCTTGAAAGGAGGTGTTTTTTAGATGTAATTTGTGATAACAGCCGGTATGACATAGCACTTTCTCCTGCAGCTGTTAATTATTCAGGTGTGTGTGTGTGTGTGTGTGTGTGTGTGTGTGTGTGTGTGTGTGTGTGTGTGTGTGTGTGTGTGTGTGTGTGTGTACGTGCGTGCGTGCGTGCGTGCGTGTGTGTGTGTGTGTGTGTGTGTGTGTGTTTGATGGCGTGCATTGTGGCCTCCTCGTTAGAGCTTTTAATCTCAAGGTACTTCCTGTTTGAATGAAGGTGAAATAATAGAATGAATTGTCCCTGCTGAGCCACCGTACCTCAGTGTTAGTGCATCGCTTCTTAAAGCTGCAGGATTACACACACACACACACACACACACACACACACACACACGCACGCACGCACGCACGCACGTACGTACGCACACACACACACACACACACACACACACACACACACACACACACACACACACACACACACACACACACACACACACACACACACACACACACATACACATTATGTCCCAGTATAAAACCCAGTATGTCCTTGTCATCTGAAAGCTGCAGTGACGTCAGCAGCTCAACCTACTCTTGCCTGCAGCCAATCACAGCCCTCCTCAGCCTCCTCCTCCTCTCATTGGCTGAGCAGCAGCAGCAGGTCAGAGATTTAAAGGGCCAGTCGCACATAAACAATACAAAGAGAACAGAAAACCGTGTTCTTGATATTTCCTGTAACTAATAATAACTAATATAAAACGAATGTTGATAACATGAGTAACCAACAGACCTGTCAATCATCCTGAGTGACGACCGCTGTGTCCAATCCTGTGCCGTTAAAGCTTGGTGGGGCGGGGCTTCACATGAGACGTTAGAGTAAAATATATAATAATAATAAAGATAATAATGAATTGATTTATATACGGGTATTCCATTTTAATATATAATATTATTGGAAGAATATTATTTGAAAATAGTAATAAAATAGTAAACGTTTATTTAAATTAAAATAATAACATTTAAATAATAAAATAAAATAAATTGCTCTTTTTGTCATTTCACAGTACAGGTACTATGTAACGAAGTTGTTCCTCTGCATTTGATCCATCCTAGTGTTAGGAGCAGTGTGCCCGGGGAGTAGTGTAGCGGTGCCTTGCTCAGGGACACCTCGGTAGTACTTGGTCTTGCCGGGACTCGAACTGGTGACCTTCCAGATGCCAAGCCAAGTCCCTATCGACTTCGACACCATCACACACACTTTTAATATAGCACCATTAAAGTATTAATATATTATTATCAGAATACTTTTTAAATATGGTATTATAATAGTAAGCAATATATAATACAGCACTATTACAGTAGTCTATTTATATTTAAATGTGGTAAGAGTACGGCTGTGTTTTTACAGATATTATAAAAGATGTGTTAGATATTTAAATGACTCTTGATCCCTGCGTCCCTCTGAGTGTTGAATAAAGTTTTCTGTCTTTGAATAAAGCAGCGTTCACTGTCCCCTCGTACGTTTGGGCGCCGGGTCTCGTTACCGGGAAACCATTTTCTGTATGTGTCCTCAATGCTATCGCTGCATAAACCCACGATATGAACGTGACCTGAATGCAGCACGCTGTGTGTTCCTGTATTTAATCACAGCTCCAGGTGCATTGTGGGACATTAACAAAGGTCACAGCGGCCCTAATCCTCGTTACCATGGAAACCAATGAGTTCACAGGATGAGTGTGATGTCACTTGAAGGCGAGACGCCTGATTGGATGTTTAGATGAAGGCAGTGATGAAGGGGAAGGAGGCGGGGTATGTAAAGTCAAAAAGGGGGGGGATAGATATGTGTGTGTGTGTGTGTGTGTGTGTGTGTGTGTGTGTGTGTGTGTGTGTGTGTGTGTGTGTGTGTGTGTGTGTGTGTGTGTGTGTGTGTGTGTGTGTGTGTGTGTGTGTGTGTGTGTGTGTGTGTGTGTGTGTGTGTGTGTGTGTGTGTGTGTGTGTGTGTGTGTGTGTGTGTGTGTGTGTGAGTATATGTCACCCTCTGGTGGACAGACGCAGGAGCAGTCGTCTGAGTTTAGATGAAAAACAGGTTTTAAAGAGAATGATGTTCAGGTGTATATCAGTATATAGTGTCTCTACTTTAAAGAGTCCTCTCCTGCTGATGTTCAGGTGTATATCAGTATGTAGTGTCTCTACTTTAAAGAGTCCTCTCCTGCTGATGTTCAGGTGTATATCAGTATGTAGTGTCTCTACTTTAAAGAGTCCTCTCCTGCTGATGTTCAGGTGTATATCAGTATGTAGTGTCTCTACTTTAAAGAGTCCTCTCCTGCTGATGTTCAGGTGTATATCAGTATATAGTGTCTCTACTTTAAAGAGTCCTCTCCTGCTGATGTTCAGGTGTATATCAGTATGTAGTGTCTCTACTTTAAAGAGTCCTCTCCTGCTGATGTTCAGGTGTATATCAGTATGTAGTGTCTCTACTTTAAAGAGTCCTCTCCTGCTGATGTTCAGGTGTATATCAGTATATAGTGTCTCTACTTTAAAGAGTCCTCTCCTGCTGATGTTCAGGTGTATATCAGTATATAGTGTCTCTACTTTAAAGAGTCCTCTCCTGCTGATGTTCAGGTGTATATCAGTATATAGTGTATCTACTTTAAAGAGTCCTCTCCTGCTGATGTTCAGGTGTATATCAGTATGTAGTGTCTCTACTTTAAAGAGTCCTCTCCTGCTGATGTTCAGGTGTATATCAGTATGTAGTGTCTCTACTTTAAAGAGTCCTCTCCTGCTGATGTTCAGGTGTATATCAGTATGTAGTGTCTCTACTTTAAAGAGTCCTCTCTTGATGATGTTCAGGTGTATATCAGTATGTAGTGTCTCTACTTTAAAGAGTCCTCTCCTGCTGATGTTCAGGTGTATATCAGTATGTAGTGTCTCTACTTTAAAGAGTCCTCTCCTGCTGATGTTCAGGTGTATATCACTATGTAGTGTCTCTACTTTAAAGAGTCCTCTCCTGCTGATGTTCAGGTGTATATCAGTATGTAGTGTCTCTACTTTAAAGAGTCCTCTCCTGCTGATGTTCAGGTGTATATCAGTATGTAGTGTCTCTACTTTAAAGAGTCCTCTCCTGCTGATGTTCAGGTGTATATCAGTATGTAGTGTCTCTACTTTAAAGAGTCCTCTCCTGCTGATGTTCAGGTGTATATCAGTATGTGGTGTCTCTACTTTAAAGAGTCCTCTCCTGCTGATGTTCAGGTGTATATCAGTATGTAGTGTCTCTACTTTAAAGAGTCCTCTCCTGCTGATGTTCAGGTGTATATCAGTATGTAGTGTCTCTACTTTAAAGAGTCCTCTCCTGCTGATGTTCAGGTGTATATCAGTATGTAGTGTCTCTACTTTAAAGAGTCCTCTCCTGCTGATGTTCAGGTGTATATCAGTATGTAGTGTCTCTACTTTAAAGAGTCCTCTCCTGCTGATGTTCAGGTGTATATCAGTATGTAGTGTCTCTACTTTAAAGAGTCCTCTCCTGATGATGTTCAGGTGTATATCAGTATGTAGTGTCTCTACTTTAAAGAGTCCTCTCCTGCTGATGTTCAGGTGTATATCAGTATGTAGTGTATCTACTTTAAAGAGTCCTCTCCTGCTGATGTTCAGGTGTATATCAGTATGTAGTGCCTCTACTTTAAAGAGTCCTCTCCTGCTGATGTTCAGGTGTATATCAGTATGTAGTGTCTCTACTTTAAAGAGTCCTCTCCTGCTGATGTTCAGGTGTATATCAGTATGTAGTGTCTCTACTTTAAAGAGTCCTCTCTTGATGATGTTCAGGTGTATATCAGTATGTAGTGTCTCTACTTTAAAGAGTCCTCTCCTGCTGATGTTCAGGTGTATATCAGTATGTAGTGTCTCTACTTTAAAGAGTCCTCTCCTGCTGATCTTCAGGTGTATATCAGTATGTAGTGTCTCTACTTTAAAGAGTCCTCTCCTGCTGATGTTCAGGTGTATATCAGTATGTAGTGTCTCTACTTTAAAGAGTCCTCTCCTGCTGATGTTCAGGTGTATATCAGTATGTAGTGTCTCTACTTTAAAGAGTCCTCTCCTGCTGATGTTCAGGTGTATATCAGTATGTAGTGTCTCTACTTTAAAGAGTCCTCTCCTGCTGATGTTCAGGTGTATATCAGTATGTAGTGTCTCTACTTTAAAGAGTCCTCTCCTGCTGATGTTCAGGTGTATATCACTATGTAGTGTCTCTACTTTAAAGAGTCCTCTCCTGCTGATGTTCAGGTGTATATCACTATGTAGTGTCTCTACTTTAAAGAGTCCTCTCCTGCTGATGTTCAGGTGTATATCAGTATGTAGTGTCTCTACTTTAAAGAGTCCTCTCCTGCTGATGTTCAGGTGTATATCAGTATGCAGTGTCTCTACTTTAAAGAGTCCTCTCCTGCTGATGTTCAGGTGTATATCAGTATGTAGTGTCTCTACTTTAAAGAGTCCTCTCCTGCTGATGTTCAGGTGTATATCAGTATGTAGTGTCTCTACTTTAAAGAGTCCTCTCCTGCTGATGTTCAGGTGTATATCAGTATGTAGTGTCTCTACTTTAAAGAGTCCTCTCCTGATGATGTTCAGGTGTATATCAGTATGTAGTGTCTCTACTTTAAAGAGTCATCTCCTGCTGATGTTCAGGTGTATATCAGTATGTAGTGTATCTACTTTAAAGAGTCCTCTCCTGCTGATGTTCAGGTGTATATCAGTATGTAGTGTCTCTACTTTAAAGAGTCCTCTCCTGCTGATGTTCAGGTGTATATCAGTGTGTAGTGTCTCTACTTTAAAGAGTCCTCTCCTGCTGATGTTCAGGTGTATATCAGTGTGTAGTGTCTCTACTTTAAAGAGTCCTCTCCTGCTGATGTTCAGGTGTATATCAGTGTGTAGTGTCTCTACTTTAAAGAGTCCTCTCCTGCTGATGTTCAGGTGTATATCAGTATGTAGTGTATCTACTTTAAAGAGTCCTCTCCTGCTGATGTTCAGGTGTATATCAGTATGTAGTGTCTCTACTTTAAAGAGTCCTCTCCTGCTGATGTTCAGGTGTATATCAGTATGTAGTGTCTCTACTTTAAAGAGTCCTCTCCTGCTGATGTTCAGGTGTATATCAGTATGCAGTGTCTCTACTTTAAAGAGTCCTCTCCTGCTGATGTTCAGGTGTATATCAGTATGTAGTGTCTCTACTTTAAAGAGTCCTCTCCTGCTGATGTTCAGGTGTATATCAGTATGTAGTGTCTCTACTTTAAAGAGTCCTCTCCTGCTGATGTTCAGGTGTATATCAGTATGTAGTGTCTCTACTTTAAAGAGTCCTCTCCTGATGATGTTCAGGTGTATATCAGTATGTAGTGTCTCTACTTTAAAGAGTCATCTCCTGCTGATGTTCAGGTGTATATCAGTATGTAGTGTATCTACTTTAAAGAGTCCTCTCCTGCTGATGTTCAGGTGTATATCAGTATGTAGTGTCTCTACTTTAAAGAGTCCTCTCCTGCTGATGTTCAGGTGTATATCAGTGTGTAGTGTCTCTACTTTAAAGAGTCCTCTCCTGCTGATGTTCAGGTGTATATCAGTGTGTAGTGTCTCTACTTTAAAGAGTCCTCTCCTGCTGATGTTCAGGTGTATATCAGTGTGTAGTGTCTCTACTTTAAAGAGTCCTCTCCTGCTGATGTTCAGGTGTATATCAGTATGTAGTGTATCTACTTTAAAGAGTCCTCTCCTGCTGATGTTCAGGTGTATATCAGTATGTGGTGTCTCTACTTTAAAGAGTCCTCTCCTGCTGATGTTCAGGTGTATATCAGTATGTAGTGTCTCTACTTTAAAGAGTCCTCTCCTGCTGATGTTCAGGTGTATATCAGTATGTAGTGTCTCTACTTTAAAGAGTCCTCTCCTGCTGATGTTCAGGTGTATATCAGTATGTAGTGTCTCTACTTTAAAGAGTCCTCTCCTGCTGATGTTCAGGTGTATATCAGTATGTAGTGTCTCTACTTTAAAGAGTCCTCTCCTGCTGATGTTCAGGTGTATATCAGTATGTAGTGTCTCTACTTTAAAGAGTCCTCTCCTGCTGATGTTCAGGTGTATATCAGTATGTAGTGTCTCTACTTTAAAGAGTCCTCTCCTGCTGATGTTCAGGTGTATATCAGTATGTAGTGTCTCTACTTTAAAGAGTCCTCTCCTGCTGATGTTCAGGTGTATATCAGTATGTAGTGTCTCTTCTTTAAAGAGTCTTCTCCTGCTGATGTTCAGGTGTATATCAGTATGTAGTGTCTCTACTTTAAAGAGTCCTCTCCTGCTGATGTTCAGGTGTATATCAGTATGTAGTGTCTCTACTTTAAAGAGTCCTCTCCTGCTGATGTTCAGGTGTATATCAGTATGTAGTGTCTCTACTTTAAAGAGTCCTCTCCTGCTGATGTTCAGGTGTATATCAGCATGTAGTGTCCCTACTTTAAAGAGTCCTCTCCTGGTGAGGGTCAGGTGAAGGCCTTAAACCCACGGTGCGTTCAGGGTCACTGAAGGCCTTAAACCCACGGTGCGTTCAGGGTCAACCCAGCATCTCTGCAGGATTTAAACCTGTGGTGCGTTCAGGGTCTCTGCAGGCCTTACACCCATGGTGCGTTCAGGGTCTCTGCAGGCCTTATCCGTGGTGCGTTCAGGGTCTCTGGAGGATTTAAACCTGTGGTGCGTTCAGGGTCTCTGCAGGCCTTAAACCCGTGGTGAGTTCAAGGTCTCTGCAGGCCTTAAACCCGTGGTGCGTTCAGGGTCTCTGGAGGATTTAAACCTGTGGTGCGTTCAGGGTCTCTGCAGGCCTTAAACCCGTGGTGAGTTCAGGGTCTCTGCAGGCCTTAAACCTGTGGTGCGTTCAGGGTCTCTGGAGGATTTAAACCTGTAGTGCGTTCAGGGTCTCTGCAGGCCTTAAACCCGTGGTGCGTTCAGGGTCTCTGCAGGCCTTAAACCCGTGGTGCGTTCAGGGTCTCTGGAGGATTTAAACCTGTGGTGCGTTCATGGTCTCTGCAGGCCTTAAACCCGTGGTGAGTTCACGGTCTCTGCAGGCCTTAAACCCGTGGTGCGTTCAGGGTCTCTGGAGGATTTAAACCTGTGGTGCATTCAGGGTCTCTGCAGGCCTTAAACCCGTGGTGCGTTCAGGGTCCCGCAGGCATCCTGTGCTGGGAGGGGGTGTTGAGGTTGGGGTCCTGGTCTCCATGGTAACACTTCCCCAGGTTCTTGATGACGCTCTGAGTGAAGCTGCTGTCCAGAATCCATCCCGACGAATCAGAGTCCGGATCCCCGAGGCGCAGAACCTCCTCCATCGCAGTCTGCAGGTACCGGACCCCCGTCAGAACCAGCAGCTGGGGGAACAGTTAGCAGCTAGAGTAGTACCAGTAGTACCCAGTAGTACCTAGTAGTACCCAGTGGCACCCAGTAGTACCCAGTATTACTCAGTAGTACCCAGTGGTACCCAGTAGTACCCAGTAGTACCCAGTATTACCCAGTAGTACCCCGTGGTACCAAGTAATACCCAGTAGTACCCAGTGGTACCCAGTAGTACCTAGTAGTACCCAGTAGTACCCAGTGGTACCCAGTGGTACCCAGTAGTACCAAGTAGTACCCAGTGGTACCCAGTAGTACCCAGTATTACCCAGTAGTACCCAGTAGTACCCAGAAGTACCCAGAAGTACCCAGTAGTACCCAGTAGTACCCAGTGGTACCCAGTAATACCCAGTAGTATCCAGTAGTACCCAGTAGTACCCAGTGGTACCCAGTAGTACCTAGTAGTACCCAGTAGTACCCAGTGGCACCCAGTGGTACCCAGTGGTACCCAGTAGTACCCAGTAGTACCCAGTGGTACCCAGTATTACCCAGTAGTACCCAGTAGTACCCAGAAGTACCCAGAAGTACCCAGTAGTACCCAGTAGTACCCAGTGGTACCCAGTAATACTCAGTAGTACCCAGTAGTACCCAGTAGTAGTACCTCAAAGAGCCAGATGAGCAGCACGGTGAACCCGATGGTCTGCAGGAGCCCCCTGTAGTGGTCCACCAGCACCTGCCGGCAGCCCCCCCCCCACTGGTTCAGCTGGTCCCAGTTGAAGGTCTGCGAGGCATCTCGGAGCTGCGTCTGGATGCAGGGCCGCGGGGAGGAGGGGCTGCAGCAGCTGAAGGGCACGCTGTCCTGGAGGAACTGCCCCCCCACGTTACTCCTGAGGCGCCTGCAGGGGGGTTAAGGTCTGTTTAAGGTTTAAGGTCTCATTAAGGTCTGTGATGTGCACTACAGAGACCTGAACTACAGAGACCTGAACTACAGAGACCTGTACTACAGAGACCTGAACTATAGAGACCTGAACTACAGAGACCTGCACTACAGAGACCTGAACTACAGAGACCTGTACTACAGAGACCTGCACTATAGAGACCTGAACTACAGAGACCTGCACTACAGAGACCTGAACTACAGAAACCTGCACTAGAGACCTGCACTACAGAGACCTGAACTACAGAGACCTGCACTACAGAGACCTGTACTACAGAGACCTGTACTACAGAGACCTGCACTACAGAGACCTGCACTACAGAGACCTGCACTACAGAGACCTGTACTACAGAGACCTGCACTACAGAGACCTGCACTACAGAGACCTGAACTACAGAGACCTGAACTACAGAGACCTTTACTACAGGGACCTGCACTACAGAGACCTGAACTACAGAGACCTGCACTACAGAGACCTGAACTACAGAGACCTGTTTGACAGAGACCTGTTCTACAGAGACCTGAACTACAGAGACCTGTTCGACAGAGACCTGTTCTACAGAGACCTGAACTACAGAGACCTGAACTACAGAGACCTGCACTCAGCTGATCTTCCACCAAAAGGGAGGTCCACCTAAACCCAAATAACTGGAGGTCCCCCTTTGGCTTTCAGGCGTAGACACTCTTGTCTGTGTTAGCCGACATTAGCTTTAGGAGCTGGATCACAAACCAAAACCTTGTATGATGTGGTTCCAAAGAGGAACCGGGTTCTAATGAAAACCAGATGTGGACCTGTGGCTAAAGACTACTCTAAACCCCCAGCAGAGGACACTTACTCCACTACGCTGCTGCTGGTCATGTCCAGGTAGCGGTTGCTGATCCACTGGACCTGGAACCAGTCCCGGTACCCAGCGTTCCCACAGCACTGGAACTGGATCTGCAGCAGGTCCACGGTCTTCTTCAGGTAGCAGCGGCCCGGCGTGTCTGTGTCTTTGTAGAAACGCATGGCGTTCTGCAGGCCCAGCAGCAGCGAGTCCTCCAGCTGGCTCTGGACCCCGTAGCACAGCAGCGCCCCCCCTAGGATGCAGGCGGTGAAGCAGAGGCTGCAGACCACGTAGGGCATCAGGACCAGTTTCCAGCGCAGGAACCTGTTGGGGTCGGCGCAGTCCAGGCAGATCTTCCCCCCAAGGAAGTTGATGCCGCAGGCCGCCAGCCCGGTGCTGATCAGGACGTGAGGCACGTAGAGGATCCCGGGCCCCGACATCACTTCCTGCCACTTCTGGATCTCCACTCTGAGGAACAAGCCCAGTCCAAAGAGGAGGGCCCCCGTCAGGACGGAGACCCAGTTGAGCAGCCAGAGGACCTCAGCCAGCTTCTCTCGCTCCGCCTTGGTGAAGGTCCGCCTCCCGACCGCCATCAGATCCACTTCCTGTGTGGATCACGTCCAGGCCGGAAACATGTCCGCAATAGAGTTATTTAAGTTCCACCTGGACCAGTGGCCTTCACAAGGCCTCTCTCTGGGGAACAGGTCTTCCCCTCAACATGGACCAGGGGGCCTTCACAAGGCGTCTCTCTGGGGAACAGGTCTTCCCTTTAACTTCGACCAGGGGGCCTTCACAAGGTGTCTCTCTGGGGAACAGGTCTTCCCCTCCACCTGGACCAGGGGGCCTTCACAAGGCGTCTCTCTGGGGAACAGGTCTTTCCCGCACCATGATTAGGTTTCTCTGGGTCCTCCAATCAGGTTTCACATCCTGCTGCCCATTCTTGGAAGTTCCTCGATTGACTTACAAAATGGTGCAGATTGTGGACTCCACTTCAGACCCAAACCCTGGGGTCACAGAGGAGCAGGACTCACATACAGTCCACATGAGTCTGAGAGGGTTCAGAGTTTCGGGTTCAGGGTCCAGAGTTCAGGATCCAGAGTTCAGGGTCCAGAGTTCAGGGTCCAGGGTCCAGAGTTTAGGTTCCAGAGCTCAGACTTCATGGACCTACCTGTGGACAGGAAATAAAGACAGTTAACCTGTGGACAGAGTCTACCTGTGGACAGAGTCTACCTGTGGACAGAGTCTACCTGTGGACAGAGTCTACCTGTGGACAGAGTCTACCTGTGGACAGAGTCTACTTGTGGACAGAGTCTACCTGTGGACAGAGTCTACCTGTGGACAGAGTCTACCTGTGGACAGAGTCTACTTGTGGACAGAGTCTACCTGTGGACAGAGTCTACCTGTGGACAGAGTCTCTACTTGTGGACAGAGTCTACCTGTGGACGGGAAATGGATGCCTCCTCTGCAGTGTCTCACAGGTTTTGCAGCAGAGTTGTGAGAGTCTGCTGGCTTGCACCGCTAATCTGCTTACAGCTAATCAGCCTGGTAATACCCCCCCCCCCCCCCCCAGCTGCACTGTCAGCCTGGTAATACCCCCCCCCCCCCCCCCCTCCCAGCTGCACTGTCAGCCTGGCAATACCCCCCCCCCAGCTGCACTGTCAGCCTGGTAAATACCCCCCCCCCCCCCAGCTGCACTGTCAGCCTGGTAATACCCCCCCCCCCCCTCCCAGCTGCACCGTCAGCCTGGCAATACCCCCCCCCCCAGCTGCACTGTCAGCCTGGTAATACCCCCCCCCCCCCAGCTGCACTGTCAGCCTGGTAATACCCCCCCCCCCAGCTGCACTGTCAGCCTGGTAATACCCCCCCCCCAGCTGCACTGTCAGCCTGGTAATACCCCCCCCCCCAGCTGCAACTGTCAGCCTGGTAATACCCCCCCCCCCAGCTGCACTGTCAGCCTGGTAATACCCCCCCACCCCCCCCCCCCCCAGCTGCACTGTCAGCCTGGTAATACCCCCCCCCCCCAGCTGCACTGTCAGCCTGGTAATACCCCCCCCCAGCTGCACTGTCAGCCTGGTAATACCCCCCCCCCCCAGCTGCACTGTCAGCCTGGTAATACCCCCCCCCAGCTGCACTGTCAGCCTGGTAATACCCCCCCCCCCAGCTGGCACTGTCAGCCTGGTAATACCCCCCCCAGCTGCACTGTCAGCCTGGTAATACCCCCCCCCCCCAGCTGCACTGTCAGCCTGGTAATACCCCCCCCCAGCAGCTGCACTGTCAGCCTGGTAATACCCCCCCCCCCCAGCTGCACTGTCAGCCTGGTAATACCCCCCCCCCCCAGCTGCACTGTCAGCCTGTAATACCCCCCCCCCAGCTGCACTGTCAGCCTGGTAATACCCCCCCCCCCAGCTGCACTGTCAGCCTGGCAATACCCCCCCCCCCAGCTGACTGCAGCCTGGTCAATACACCCCCCCCCCAGCTGCCCTGTCAGCCTGGTAATACCCCCCCCCCCCAGCTGCACTGTCAGCCTGGTAATCCCCCCCCCCCCCAGCTGCAACTGTCAGCCTGGTAATCCCCCCCCCCCCCAGCTGCACTGTCAGCCTGGTAATACCCCCCCCCCAGCTGCACTGTCAGCCTGGTAATACCCCCCCCCCCCAGCTGCACTGTCAGCCTGGTAATACCCCCCCCCCCAGCTGCACTGCCAGCCTGGTAATACCCCCCCCCCCAGCTGCACTGTCAGCCTGGTAATACAGATACTAATATCTCTAGGGTTGTAACTTCAGGCACGAGTTTAGAAGTGTGTTTCTATTTATTGTTAGTTGTACCATCTACTCTGATATGTTCATGTCATTTTCAAACTGGAGTTTAGACATTATTTAAACGATTTGTATTTATTAAAACAATCTTCTTTTTTTTAACAACATTGAGTTTTTAGTCCTATTTAACATTTATTTATATTTATACTATTTTATTCACTCTTATTTATATTTATACTGAAGTCTAGACATGCTGTGACGTCATGTATCCAGAGGGTTTCCTGTGTAGGAGGGCGGGGCTTCCGTGTTCCTCAGGGAGACAGGTGAGTCACTTCCGGGACCGGGAGATCCTCCTTCAAAAATAAAGCATGAAGGTTTGGTATGAAGTATAAATACACATTTTAAAAGTCACGATACCTGTACTTTCACTTTGAAATACTATGAAACCATCAAACAGGTAAATCAGTTACGATACCTGTACTTTCACTTTAAAGCGGCCAAACGGTGGTACTGCAGCTCCCGGAAGTGCTCCCCTGGTGAAGCCCATAGGAATGACTCTAGCGGCCAAACGGTGGTACTGCAGCTCCCGTGATGTCATTTTGACCCAGAAAGACATCACCATTGACTTACATTGAGAAAGAGACGTCTGTAAATCAGTGTATGATTTAATTTTAACTAAATAAACTCCCCAGCACGAACTCCTTTATGTCCATTATACAAGTTATATGTTTTATCAAGTTATATGTATTATCATGTTATAGATGTATTATCTTTCATGTTATAGATGTATTATCTTTCATGTTATAGATGTGTTATCTCTCATGTTATGTGTGTATTATCTCTCATGTTATGTGTATTATCTCACATGTTATATGTATTATATCTCACATGTTATGTGTATTATCTCACATGTTATGTGTATTATCTCTCATGTTATATATGTATTATCTCTCATGTTATATGTATTATCTCTCATGTTATATATGTATTATCTCTCATGTTGTATGTATTATCTCTCATGTTATATATGTATTATCTCACATGTTATGTGTGTTATCTATATGTTATAAAATGATCGGAACCCCGCCTCGCTCTCGTTGTTGAGTCTTTTAATTTGAAAGTCCGTGTGACCGGAAGTGTGTGTGTGTGTGTGCGTATGCAGCTCTCGGATCAGCCATATTCCTCCGGAAACTCCTGATCCCGGTGATCCCGGTACTGACGGGTACTGACGGGTACTGACGGTACTGACGGTGAAGAGAGACAAAAGAGAGACATGTTTCGGCGCTGAGGCCCCGCTTACACCGGATTACAGACACTCCGGAGGAGGATCAGCGACACCCGGAGCTAACGAGCAGCTAACTGAGGTACTGACGTTACTGACGGCTCCTCCCGGTCTCTCCCGGTCCCTCTTCCCGGTCCCTATATTTATATATACATATATATATATAAGTATATATATATATATATATATATATATATGTGTGTATATATATATATGTGTGTATATATATATATATATATATATGTATATTCTGCTCATAGTCTGACGCTCTGTAGTACTTGTGTATTCACTGTGTAGTACTTTTACTGTCACTACTGTCACCTGCTATCACAACGCTTATATATACTGTTGTACTTTAATCTATACTACAGTACTTTGTCAAGCTGGATGTGTATTGTTGTACTTTATACTATAAATACTACTGTACTTTGTGTAATTATACTTATACGTTCTGGAGGACCTGCAGTACTTGTAGTACTTGTACATGTTGACAGTAAAGTGTTGTTGTGTTGCAGGATGTCTGCGGTGGCCCGGCTGAAGGTTCTGGAGGACCTGCTGCTGCAGCAGAAGGCTTCAGGCTGCCTGAGTGTGGAGGCTCTGCTGGACCTGCTGCTCTGCTTCTACACCGAGTGCAGCAGCTGCCCTCTGAAGAGGGAGAAGCACGTCAACGACTTCCTGACATGGGGTGAGTGTGTGTACATATACATATATAAAGGATATATGAACCGGTAACTGCTGTTACGACCGGTACCAGTCGTTAGGACCTGTACCTGCTTTTAGGACCGGTATCTGCCGTTAGGACCGGTACCTGCTGTTAGGACCGGTATCTGCCGTTAGGACCGGCACCGTTAGGACCTGTACCTGCCGTTATTACCGGTACCTGCCATTAGGACCGGCACCTGCCGCTAGGACCTGTACCTGCCGTTATTACCTGTACCTGCCGTTATTACCCGTACCTGCTGTTAGGACCGGCACCGTTAGGACCTGTACCTGCCGTTATTACTGGTACCTGCCGTTATTACCGGTACCTGCCTTTAGAACCGGCACCTGCCATTAGGACCTGTACCTGCCGTTAGGACCGGTACCTGCCGTTAGGACCGGCACCGTTAGGACCTGTACCTGCCGTTATTACCGGTACCTGCCTTTAGAACCGGCACCTGCCATTAGGACCTTTACCTGCCGTTATTACCGGTACCTGCCATTAGGACCTGTACCTGCCGTTAGGACCGGTACCTGCCGTTAGAACCGGCACCTGCCGTTAGGACCTGTATGTTCCGTTAGTACCGGCACCTGCCGTTAAGACCGGTATCCAAGGGTGTAACTTTGGTTTGAGAAGTGGGGGACACACCAAACAACTATATTGAATAGATGGAAATATTTGTTTACAAAGATGACCATTCCCTTTGAGACCCACTGAGATAACTTGGACTAAAGTTTACAATCTAATCCCTCAGAGTCCTTTAGTTCACTGAGCTGACGTGATCTCAGCCTCTCAGTCCGACAGGAGAGAGCTCTCCCTCTCCTTACTGTTGAAACAGCTCCTAATCTCCGTTAGCTCCGAGCTAGCACCAGATGCTAACAACAACCCCCGTAACTCTCTCTGTCTCTCTCTCTCTCTCTCTCTCTCTCTCTCACAAAATGTGCTCGTACCACACACACACAGACGCTCCTCCATGACGATGACCTCTTGCCTAAAAAATAAGAATAAACACATTTGAAAAGTGGGGGGGGGGACACAAACAGGATTTTGAAAAGTGGGGGGGACACAAACGGAATTTTGAAAAGTGGGGGAGACCTGCCGTTAGGACCGGCACCGTTAGGACCTGTACCTGCCGTTAGGACCTGTAGCTGCCGTTAGGACCGGCACCTGCCGTTAGGACAGTGCCTGTAAACCGGAGGAGAACGCTGGCATTTCTCCTCCTACTTGAAAGACTACGGAGGGATAGGGTCTGCAAAATTAGTTTGTGTGTATATATATATATATATATGCTATATATATATGCTATATATGCTCTGACCGTTCCACTTCCTGCCTGCCCGACCTGCCGTTAGGACCGGTACCTGCCGTTAGGACCGGTACCTGCCGTTAGTACCGGTGCCTGCCGTTAGTACCGGTGCCTGCCGTTAGTACCGGTGCCTGCCGTTAGTACCGGTGCCTGCCGTTAGTACCGGTGCCTGTTTATAGGACCGGTACCTGCCGTTAGTGTTGTGTGTGTGTGTGTGTGTGTGTGTGTGTGTGTGTGTGTGTGTGTGTGTGTGTGTGTGTGTGTGTGTGTGTGTGTGTGTGTGTGGGTGTGTGTGTGTGTGTGTGTGTGTGGTGTGTGTGTGTGTGATGTGTGTGTGTGTGTGTGTGGTGTGTGTGTGTGTGTGTGTGTGTGGTGTGTGTGTGTGTGTTGTGTGTGTGTGTGTGTGTGTGTGTGTGTGTGTGTGTGTGAACTGAGCAGCACAGCCCGCAAGGTCCTAGTGCCCCCTTCCTCTTGTATCACTATGAGTATTAGAAGTAATATTATTATAATACTAAAGTCTTACATTACTAAAGTTTAGTATTTCTATACAATCGAGAACATCTGTTTAATAAAATAACTCTTTGTTATAAAAACACTGTCCTCTCTCTGTCCAAAGGAGGTGATGTGTATTTATACGAGGTGATGTGTATTTATATGAGTTGATGTGTATTTATATGAGTTGATGTGTATTTATATGAGGTGATGTGTATTTATGAGGTTATGTGTATGGGTTAGGGATGGGAAAGATGAATCGAATATTCAAAATTATTCAGGCATTCGAATATGAGGTTTTTTTTTTTGGGAGGGATGCCTGAGTTGATGACATATGATCAAATGGAATAATTCAATGTATATGACAGTGCCATAGCTAAGTGTGTTTGGTCTAAAGGTGTGTTTTGCTCCGCTCACCGGCCCCTCACAGCGGGCAGAGCTGCAGGTGCTGATCTCTCTCTCTCTCGCGTCCGGTTATACTTCACTCGCGTTTATGTCCAAATCCATCAGATCTAGTTCTAGCTAATGATATGGCTGCTGCCCCTCCCTACACGCAGATCACGCAGACTCAAACCTCATCTTATGCCCACATTCCAGCTGAGAGGGTCTTCTCTACAGCTGGCCTGATTGTGAATCGCCTCCGCACCCGCCTCTCCCCTGAGTAGACATGCTCATATTCTTAAAGAAGAATGAGTGTTGAATAGCTGCATTCTGTGATAGGCCCTGTTACAGGTTGATCTCTGTCGTGATAGGGTTACGTTACCCTAACCCTGTTACAGGTTGATCTCTGTCGTGATAGGGTTACGTTACCCTAACCCTGTTACAGGTTGATCTCTGTCGTGATAGGGTTACGTTACCCTAACCCTGTTACAGGTTGTTGATCTCTGTCGTGATAGGGTTACGTTACCCTAACCCTGTTACAGGTTGTTGATCTCTGTCGTGATAGGGTTACGTTACCCTAACCCTGTTACAGGTTGATCTCTGTCGTGATAGGGTTACGTTACCCTAACCCTGTTACAGGTTGTTGATCTCTGTCGTGATAGGGTTACGTTACCCTAACCCTGTTACAGGTTGATCTCTGTTGTGATAGGGTTACGTTACCCTAACCCTGTTACAGGTTGATCTCTGTCGTGATAGGGTTACGTTACCCTAACCCTGTTACAGGTTGATCTCTGTCGTGATAGGGTTACGTTACCCTAACCCTGTTACAGGTTGTTGATCTCTGTCGTGATAGGGTTACGTTACCCTAACCCTGTTACAGGTTGTTGATCTCTGTCGTGATAGGGTTACGTTACCCTAACCCTGTTACAAGTTGTTGATCTCTGTCGTGATAGGGTTACCCTAACCCTGTTACAGGTTATTGATCTCTGTCGTGATAGGGTTACGTTACCCTAACCCTGTTACAGGTTGTTGATCTCTGTTGTGATAGGGTTACGTTACCCTAACCCTGTTACAGGTTGTTGATCTCTGTCGTGATAGGGTTACCCTAACCCTGTTACAGGTTGTTGATCTCTGTCGTGATAGGGTTACGTTACCCTAACCCTGTTACAGGTTGTTGATCTCTGTCGTGATAGGGTTACCCTACCCCTGTTACAGGTTGTTGATCTCTGTCGTGATAGGGTTACGTTACCCTAACCCTGTTACAGGTTGTTGATCTCTGTCGTGATAGGGTTACGTTACCCTAACCCTGTTACAGGTTGTTATCTCTGTCGTGATAGGGTACGTTACCCTAACCCCTGTTACAGGTTGTTGATCTCTGTCGTGATAGGGTTACGTTACCCTGACCCTGTTACAGGTTGTTGATCTCTGTCGTGATAGGGTTACGTTACCCTGACCCTGTTACAGGTTGTTGATCTCTGTCGTGATAGGGTTACGTTACCCTGACCCTGTTACAGGTTGTTGATCTCTGTCGTGATAGGGTTACGTTACCCTGACCCTGTTACAGGTTGTTGATCTCTGTCGTGATAGGGTTACCCTAACCCTGTTACAGGTTATTGATCTCTGTCGTGATAGGGTTACGTTACCCTAACCCTGTTACAGGTTGTTGATCTCTGTTGTGATAGGGTTACGTTACCCTAACCCTGTTACAGGTTGTTGATCTCTGTCGTGATAGGGTTACCCTAACCCTGTTACAGGTTGTTGATCTCTGTCGTGATAGGGTTACCCTAACCCTGTTACAGGTTGTTGATCTCTGTCGTGATAGGGTTACGTTACCCTAACCCTGTTACAGGTTGTTGATCTCTGTCGTGATAGGGTTACGTTACCCTGACCCTGTTACAGGTTGTTGATCTCTGTCGTGATAGGGTTACGTTACCCTGACCCTGTTACAGGTTGTTGATCTCTGTCGTGATAGGGTTACGTTACCCTGACCCTGTTACAGGTTGTTGATCTCTGTCGTGATAGGGTTACGTTACCCTGACCCTGTTACAGGTTGTTGATCTCTGTCGTGATAGGGTTACGTTACCCTGACCCTGTTACAGGTTGTTGATCTCTGTCGTGATAGGGTTACGTTACCCTGACCCTGTTACAGGTTGATCTCTGTCGTGATAGGGTTACGTTACCCTAACCCTGTTACAGGTTGTTGATCTCTGTCGTGATAGGGTTACGTTACCCTAACCCTGTTACAGGTTGTTGATCTCTGTTGTGATAGGGTTACGTTACCCTAACCCTGTTACAGGTTGTTGATCTCTGTCGTGATAGGGTTACGTTACCCTAACCCCGTTACAGGTTGTTGATCTCTGTCATGATAGGGTTACGTTACCCTAACCCCGTTACAGGTTGTTGATCTCTGTTGTGATAGGGTTACGTTACCCTAACCCCGTTACAGGTTTTTGATCTCTGTTGTGATAGGGTTACGTTACCCTGACCCTGTTACAGGTTGATCTCTGTTGTGATAGGGTTACGTTACCCTAACCCTGTTACAGGTTGTTGATCTCTGTCGTGATAGGGTTACGTTACCCTAACCCTGTTACAGGTTGTTGATCTCTGTCGTGATAGGGTTAGGGTAACGTAACCCTATCACGACAGAGATCAGCAACCTGTAACAGGGTTAGGGTAACGTAACCCTGTTACAGGTTGCTGATCTCTGTCGTGATAGGGTTACGTTACCCTAACCCGTTATGTTGTTCCTGTATGATCCCTCTTTCATTTCAAAACCAAGTCATGTTTTAAGCATGAAAGCTGTAGGCCTATAGCTGTCAACTGTTCAAACTGTGATCACCAGTTCAATACATTTGACAAATTCGACTTGGTTTCTAAACTTATTTGAACATGTATTTATTTATTTTCTAAATTAATTAAAAAAAAAAGGTGTAATTTTTTTCCCCCACATCTTTTTTTTTTTTATAGGATATCTACATTTCAGTTAATCGGTTAACCGTTTTTTTGTGGGTCGAATATTCGAATATACATTTGCTTTCAAATTCCCATCCCTAATGTATATGAGGTGATATGTGTGTATATGAGGTGATATGTGTGTATATGAGGTGATATGTGTGTATATGAGGTGATATGTGTGTGGTGATATGTGTGTAGTGATATGTGTGTATATGAGGTGATATGTGTGTATATGAGGTGATATGTGTGTATATGAGGTGATATGTGTGTATATGAGGTGATATGTGTGTATATGAGGTGATTTGTGTGTATATGAGGTGATTTGTGTGTATATAAGGTGATATGTATGTATGAGGTGATATGTATATTTATATATGTATGTATTGTGTGCTCTCAGTGAAGCCGTTCAGCACCACGGTGAAGGACCTGCGGCTGCACAGAGACGACTTCGAGATGCTGAAGGTGATTGGACGAGGAGCTTTTGGAGAGGTAAGACTTCCTGTTGACCTCTGACCCCCCCCCCCCCCCCCATCACTGAATCCTTTAGGCCCAATCCCAAACCGCCCCCTACACCCTACCCCTACACACTACCCCTATACTCTACCCCTACACACTACCCCTCCGTTCGCGGGGAGGGTCCGCCACATTAAGTGCTGTTCCAAACCAACGAGTGTGGAGCGGTGTGGAGGGGGAGTGGGCTATCAAGCCCTCAAACAGCGAGTCTGCATCGGTGCTGACTTGAGACCGGTCTCTACCTGACCGGAGTCACGCTGTGTGTGTCCGTCAGGAAACACGCTGTTTACAGTTCCAGCAAACATCCACTGATAAACTGCGATGTTAACAACCTCATGATAACCTCATATTTTTTTAACTTAGGATCATACCTGTGTTTAGTCTAGAAAAAGGTAAATGTGTGCATTTTATTATAAAGTTGTGTATATTTACAGACTGTTGCAAAAACTAAGAAGCTTATAAACATCAGGTTTGAAACTAAAAGAGCTTTACAAAAAAGTAACACAATGAAAGATGTTTGGAGTTTTATTTGAGTTCTTAATTTACATGTTGTGTCAAAGACATGCTGATTTGATACCGTTGTTACATACAGTTACGGCATTTCCTGTTTCTGCCGGAGAGAGGGGAGTTTGTCCCAAAGCTTGCCGCTGTATTTACTCCCTCCATCTGAGAGGAGGAGCCTCGTTGAGCTGCGAGTGAGACTACAGACGGAGTTCACTCCGCCACGGAGGGGTAGGGTCGAGGGTGTGGTTTGGGATTGGGCCTCACTCTGTGAACATCTTTCATTATAATGATATATTTATTAACAGACGTTCAGTGTGGAGGGGTGGAGAACGAACAGGAAGTGTTTCCAGTGACATGTGGCTCTGCACTTCCTGTTTACAACAATCCACTTCCTGTCCGCTTCCTCTGGGCCTCCCTCAGGAGCTCAGGGGTTTTAAATAAACTTTATTGAAACAGAACGTTACAATACAAAGCGGGTAAAATCTGAATATAATAATAAACTATTAAACTAAACCCTACATTCCTGAGACATCATTTGTCATGACACACGTAGGAAAACATCTCGTAGCTTGAAAAATAAAAAAACATTAAGCATAATAATTAAACAAAATGCCTCTTGAGGGCACGAAGTGACAAAAACTTTCAACATGTCTCCATTAAACCCCATTGTAAGTTCAGCCTCATCTTTCTCCACCACAGCAGCCGCACACCTTGACCCCTCGATTCCACCGGGTCCGTCTGCGCCGCGTTACGGCTGCGCCGCGGTTTTGGTCCGGCCTCCTCCGGCGTCATACCCTACCAGGCGCGTTTCAGAAGCATTTCAGAAGCGGAGCGTCTTGCCTGCCGGCTCGCAGTTTTTGTTGATTTGGCCATATTTCCTGGACAGGCTACTTTGTACAGACAAAGTTAATAATAACTGTAATATTCCAGTTATAAACGACATGAATCAAAGATGTGTTGCTGTATTTTAGTGGAAATGCATTCATCATCATAATTATTCTATATATATAATGTACACAGTGCCTGTAAACCGGAGGAGAACGCTGGCATTTCTCCTCCTACTTGAAAGACTACGGAGGGATAGGGTCTGCAAAATTAGTTTATATATATATATATATGCTATATATGCTCTGACCGTTCCACTTCCTGCCTGCCCGACCTTACGTTACGGCTGCGCCGCGTCAAAAATATGATTCATCCTAATTTTAGAGGAGCCCTGCGCCGAGCCGCTTCTGGGACGCTTCTGAGCCGTAACGCGCCGCGTGTGGTGGAATAGCACCCATTGACTAGAGTGGCCGCGATCGCCGTGAGCACCGCGGCGCAGCCGCAACGCAGCCGCAACGCAGCCGCAACGCAGCCGCAACGCAGCCGCAACGCAGCCGCAACACGCCCGTAAAGCGCCCGTAAAGCGCCCGTAACGCGCCGCAGATGGACCCGGTGGAATCTAGGGGTTAGTTAATCTGCCAAAAAGGCCACATTATTGACCCGAAAGTACACAAAAAGTACACTTCAGATGCTCAAGGTCCTTGAGATGCTTCACGCTTTGAAATTTCACCGATATCTGTTACGGTTCTTCAACAAAACGTTCACATGTAAGAGGTTTATCTCTCATTCAGAACAATGAAAATGCTCTCCTCTCACTGATCACCATGGAAACCTTTGATCTCTGGACACGTCGTTAGCTCAAATATAAACACCTGTGTCATGGAACACGATGATGTCATAACTCCAACTGCTCAGAGCAGCAGACTTCAGATAATGGTTAATGGTCCTGCCCTCAACAGCTCTACGTCAATTATGGGGTGTCATCATATGCCGTTTCCATGGAAACGCATCCCTCGCCATAAAACACGATGTCGCTGTAACTCCAATGGACACGGTCCGATCGCCCCCCAAACTTCGCTTGTATATCACCGGTCCATGCCTCAACAGCTTTACGCCAAATCTGAGATCTCACCATAGGCTGTTGCCATGGAAACGCATCCCTCGCCATAAAACACGATGTCGCTATAACTCCTATGAAAATGTTCAAAAAGTGCTCAAACTTCACGTGTGCTAACAGTCCAGCCGTGAAGACATCTATGGGACAGTTTTGAGATTTATTCAAATGCCGTTGCCATGGCAACACAATGCTCGCCATGAAACACAGTTTTCTCATAACTTCAGTGAAAATGCTCCAAACGGCCCAAAACTTCACAGGTTTGGTAACGATGCAGCCATCAACGCATCTAAGCGTATTATGGGATGTCATCAAATGCCGTTGGCATGGCGACAGATCATTCGCCATCAATTTAGTTCAAAAGTTTGCAGTTCAAATATTCTGCTGCTTTTCCAAGCCTTTTTACTTTCTTTTCTCATCACACATTCAAGCCCCCAGTGTTCATGTATCATTTCAATCTAAATTCTACACTTTCTTCTTACATTACATTTCAGCATAGCAGTTTAGCGTCAGCTTTTCAGCATAAAGCATTCCCACTAGCAATTTCTTCAGGAATTGCATTCTCTAGTTCCTATTATAATACAAATAATCATTATACAATAATGCAAATAATAAAATAATAGTATTAACAATAATATTTAGAGTGTAGTTTGATTCCAGATGACATTTCTAAAATAAAAGTTTGTATTTATTTATGATAACTTTGTTGACGTCTGTCAGGTTGCCGTGGTGAAGATGAAGCACACCGAGAGAGTCTACGCCATGAAGATCCTCAACAAGTGGGAGATGCTGAAGAGAGCAGAGGTGAGTCTGTTAGCGTGTGGCTTCTGACATGCTAACAGTAGCGTGTGGCTTCTGACATGCTAACAGTAGCGTGTGGCTTCTGACATGCTAACAGTAGCGTGTGGCTTCTGACATGCTAACAGTAGCGTGTGGCTTCTGACATGCTAACAGTAGCGTGTGGCTTCTGACATGCTAACAGTAGCGTTTATGTAGGGGGCTTCTGACATGCTAACATTAGCGTGTGGCTTCTGACATGCTAACATTAGCGTGTGGCTTCTGACATGCTAACAGTAGTGTGTGGCTTGTGACATGCTAACAGTAGTGTGTGGCTTGTGACATGCTAACATTAGCGTGTTGCTTCTGACATGTGTGCAGACGGCGTGTTTCCGAGAGGAGCGTGATGTCCTGGTCAGAGGGGACAGTCAGTGGATCACCACGCTGCACTACGCCTTCCAGGACGACAACTACCTGGTGAGTACTACTGCTATATATAGATATATATATATATATATATATATATATTTATAAAACGGACAAGTCAAATCAAGCAATCTGATCATATACCACGACCTGTCGTGAGCTATTGCTTAAATATATATATACATATGTTAGCATGATGGTGTATTGTAGGAGGAGCTGCTGTGCATATGGTGAAAAGGCCTTTGAACCTACAGCTGGTTATCATAATACTGCACATATTTATACAACAAACGTGTGTATTTGCAGTATCTGGTGATGGATTACTACGTGGGGGGGGGACCTGCTGACGCTGCTCAGTAAGTTTGAGGATCGACTTCCTGAAGACATGTCCAAGTTCTACCTGGCTGAGATGGTGCTGGCCATCCACTCCATCCACCTGCAGAACTACATACACAGGTACTAGTACACAGGTACTAATACTGCATACTGAGAGTACTCCATCCACCTGCAGAACTACATACACAGGTCCTAGTACACAGGTACTAATACTGCATACTGAGAGTACTCCATCCACCTGCAGAACTACATACACAGGTCCTAGTACACAGGTACTAATACTGCATACTGAGAGTACTCCATCCACCTGCAGAACTACATACACAGGTACTAATACTTATTTGATGTGTTTTAATGGTTATTAATTGTACTTAATGGTGATTTGATGTGTTCCGTTGTCAGAGACATCAAACCGGACAACGTCCTGCTGGACGTTAATGGTCACATTCGACTCGCTGACTTTGGATCTTGTCTCCGAATGATGGAGGATGGAACGGTAAACTAACCAGCTACAGTCACATCACAAACATTATATTATAATATATTATATTACAATACAGTATCTTATATCATAATACAGTATATTAGCAGTGGTGGCTGAGAGGGGGGGTGTAAATGATGAAAAGCAGGGGACCAAGTACAGAGCCCTGGGGGACACCGTGGGTGACTGAAGCAATGTAACCCGGTTTAGGTGTAACCCGGTTTATTGTAACCCGGTTTATTGTAACCCGGTTTATTGTAACCCGGTTTAAGTGTAACCCAGTTTAGGTGTAACCCAGTTTAGTGTAACCCGGTTTATTGTAACCCGGTTTAGGTGTAACCCGGTTTAGTCTAACCCGGTTTAGGTGTAACCCGGTTTAGTCTAACCCGGTTTATTGTAACCCGGTTTAGGTGTAACCCGGTTTAGTGTAACCCGGTTTAGTGTAACCTGGTTTAGTGTAACCCGGTTTAGTGTAACCTGGTTCTATGCGGTGTGCAGGTGCAGTCCTCGGTGGCGGTGGGCACTCCGGACTACATCTCTCCGGAGATCCTGCAGGCGATGGAGGACGGGAGGGGTCGCTACGGGCCGGAGTGCGACTGGTGGTCTCTGGGCGTCTGCATGTACGAGATGCTCTACGGGGAGACGCCCTTCTACGCAGAGTCTCTGGTGGAAACCTACGGCAAGATCATGAACCACGAGGTCAGTCTGAGGCCTGCAGGTCTATAACCCTCACCGTTATACTTGACATCAACACTCAACATGTTCCTACCAGAGGGCGTCCATTCAGGCCATGGTCGACTGATCGTCACATGTTTATGATATATTATGATATTAATATTAATAATAAACAGCCGACTATCTTTAAGTCGTGTATTCGGGGGCAGCCCTAATAACTTCTCTAGTGTTGCTTTCTCTTTATTCTCTCTGATGAAGCTCTGAGAGCAGATCCAGGTCACCTGTCTCCAGACTCTCGTCCTACTTCCAGCTTTCTAAATCTGAACTTGTCCTCGTTTGTCACTCTTGCATCATCCGGTTCTGTCCTTGTTCTCACTAAGACGTTTAACTGTTTACCCTGTTTCCATGGGTACCTATTATTCCTCTGATACCCCGTATGTGTTGTGTCTGCAGGAGCGTTTCCAGTTCCCCTCCCACACCACCGAGCTGTCGGAGGACGCTAAGGACCTGATCCAGCGCCTGTTGTGTTCCCGGGAACGCCGCCTTGGCCTCAACGGCATCTCCGACTTTAAGAGCCACCCGTTCTTCAGCGGCATCGACTGGGACAACATCCGCTCCACCGAGGCGCCGTACATCCCCGACGTGTCGTCGCCTACCGACACCTCCAACTTTGACGTGGACGACGACGTCCTCAAGAACCCGGTGAGTACCATTATACAGAGGGTGATCACAGTATGAATACTACCATACGAGTATATGTGTAGTACACATTATACAGAGGGTGATCACAGTATGAATACTACCATACGAGTATATGTGTAGTACACATTATACAGAGGGGGATCACAGTATGAATACTACCATACGAGTATATGTGTAGTACACATTATACAGAGGGTGATCACAGTATGAATACTACCATACGAGTATATGTGTAGTACACATTATACAGAGGGTGATCACAGTATGAATACTACCATACGAGTATATGTGTAGTACACATTATACAGAGGGGGATCACAGTATGAATACTACCATACGAGTATATGTGTAGTACACATTATACAGACGGGGGTCACAGTATGAATACTAGCATACGAGTATATGTGTAGTACACATTATACAGAGGGGGGTCACAGTATGAATACTACCATACGAGTATATGTGTAGTACACATTATACAGAGGGTGATCACAGTATGAATACTAGCATACGAGTATATGTGTAGTACACATTATACAGAGGGGGGTCACAGTATGAATACTACCATACGAGTATATGTGTAGTACACATTATACAGAGGGTGATCACAGTATGAATACTACCATACGAGTATATGTGTAGTACACATTATACAGAGGGGGATCACAGTATGAATACTACCATACGAGTATATGTGTAGTACACATTATACAGAGGGTGATCACAGTATGAATACTACCATACGAGTATATGTGTAGTACACATTATACAGAGGGGGGTCACAGTATGAATACTACCATACGAGTATATGTGTAGTACACATTATACAGAGGGGGATCACAGTATGAATACTACCATACGAGTATATGTGTAGTACACATTATACAGAGGGTGATCACAGTATGAATACTACCATACGAGTATATGTGTAGTACACATTATACAGAGGGTGATCACAGTATGAATACTACCATACGAGTATATGTGTAGTACACATTATACAGAGGGGGATCACAGTATGAATACTACCATACGAGTATATGTGTAGTACACATTATACAGAGGGTGATCACAGTATGAATACTACCATACGAGTATATGTGTAGTACACATTATACAGAGGGTGATCACAGTATGAATACTACTACCATACGAGTATATGTGTAGTACACATTATACAGAGGGGGATCACAGTATGAATACTACCATACGAGTATATGTGTAGTACACATTATACAGACGGGGGTCACAGTATGAATACTAGCATACGAGTATATGTGTAGTACACATTATACAGAGGGGGGTCACAGTATGAATACTACCATACGAGTATATGTGTAGTACACATTATACAGAGGGTGATCACAGTATGAATACTAGCATACGAGTATATGTGTAGTACACATTATACAGAGGGGGGTCACAGTATGAATACTACCATACGAGTATATGTGTAGTACACATTATACAGAGGGTGATCACAGTATGAATACTACCATACGAGTATATGTGTAGTACACATTATACAGAGGGGGATCACAGTATGAATACTACCATACGAGTATATGTGTAGTACACATTATACAGAGGGTGATCACAGTATGAATACTACCATACGAGTATATGTGTAGTACACATTATACAGAGGGGGGTCACAGTATGAATACTACCATACGAGTATATGTGTAGTACACATTATACAGAGGGTGATCACAGTATGAATACTAGCATACGAGTATATGTGTAGTACACATTATACAGAGGGGGGTCACAGTATGAATACTACCATACGAGTATATGTGTAGTACACATTATACAGAGGGTGATCACAGTATGAATACTACCATACGAGTATATGTGTAGTACACATTATACAGAGGGGGATCACAGTATGAATACTACCATACGAGTATATGTGTAGTACACATTATACAGAGGGGGGTCACAGTATGAATACTACCATACGAGTATATGTGTAGTACACATTATACAGAGGGGGATCACAGTATGAATACTACCATACGAGTATATGTGTAGTACACATTATACAGACGGGGGTCACAGTATGAATACTAGCATACAAGTATATGTGTAGTATACATTAAACAGAGGGCGATCACAGTATGAATACTACCATACAAGTATATGTGTAGTACACATTATACAGAGGGTGATCACAGTATGAATACTACCATACGAGTATATGTGTAGTATACATTAAACAGAGGGCGATCACAGTATGAACTACCATACGATATTTCTAATGAATGTAATGTTGATGTTTTGCAGGACATCAACCCTCCGATGTCTCACAGCGGCTTCACCGGGCAGCACCTGCCCTTCGTTGGCTTCACCTACACCACGGACAGCTGCTTCGCCGACCGCCGCTCCGTGGGGAGGGGCGGGGGGCAGGAGGTGGAAGGGGGGGGGACAGGAAGTGGAGGGGGGGGGGCAGGAGGTGGAGGCGTTCGAGAGGAGGATCCGCCGCCTGGAGCAGGAGAAACAGGAGCTGAACCGCAAACTGCAGGGTGAGACGCTGAAGCCAAACAGGAAGTAGTTCCTCTGACCTGTGGGAGAAACAGGAAGTAGCTACTCTCCCCCCCCCCCCCCCCCCCCCCCCCCTCTGATTTCAGAGTCCACCCAGGCGCTGCAGGCTCCTCGGGGGGGAACTCTGGGTCGGGACAAAGAGATCCAGAAACTGAACGAGGAGATCGAGCGTCTGAGGAAGAAGCTGGCAGGTCAGAGTTCAGGAAGAGTTGATGAACCCTGATGTGCCTCTTTCTGATGTGTTCCCTGCAGTAAGCCCCGCCCCTCTCTCTCTGCTAGACTCTGATAGGCTGGAGCACCAGCTGGAGGAGGCTGTCACTCTGAGGCAGGACTACGAGAGCTCCGCCTCCAAACTCAAGACCCTGGAGCGCCAGCTGAAGACCCTGAGGCTGGAGAAGGAGGATGTGCACAAGGTACTGAAATACATCCTGTGTGAACACATGAATCTCCTGTGAACACATGAATCTCCTGTATGAACACATGAATCTCCTGTGAACACATGAATCTCCTGTGAACACATGAATCTCCTGTGAACACATGGATCTCCTGTGAACACATGAATCTCCTGTGAACACATGAATCTCCTGTGAACACATGAATCTCCTGTATGAACACATGAATCTCCTGTGAACACATGAATCTCCTGTGAACACATGAATCTCCTGTGAACACATGAATCTCCTGTGTGAACACATGAATCTCCTGTGAACACATGCATCCTGTGTGAACACATGAATCTCCTGTGTGAACACATGAATCTCCTGTGAACACATGAATCTCCTGTGAACACATGCATCCTGTGTGAACACATGAATCTCCTGTGTGAACACATGAATCTCCTGTGAACACATGAATCTCCTGTGTGAACACATGAATCTCCTGTGAACACATGAATCTCCTGTGAACACATGCATCCTGTGTGAACACATGAATCTCCTGTGAACACATGAATCTCCTGTGTGAACACATGAATCTCCTGTGAACACATGAATCTCCTGTGAACACATGAATCTCCTGTGAACACATGAATCTCCTGTAACACATGAATCTCCTGTATGAACACATGAATCTCCTGTGAACACATGAATCTCCTGTATGAACACATGAATCTCCTGTGAACACATGAATCTCCTGTGAACACATGAATCTCCTGTGAACACATGAATCTCCTGTGAACACATGAATCTCCTGTATGAACACATGAATCTCCTGTGAACACATGAATCTCCTGTGAACACATGAATCTCCTGTGTGAACACATGAATCTCCAGTGTGAACACATGAATCTCCTGTGAACACATGAATCTCCTGTGAACACATGAATCTCCTGTGAACACATGAATCTCCTGTGTGAACACATGAATCTCCTGTGAACACATGAATCTCCTGTGAACACATGAATCTCCTGTGAACACATGAATCTCCTGTGAACACATGAATCTCCTGTGAACACATGAATCTCCTGTGAACACATGAATCTCCTGTATGAACACATGAATCTCCTGTGTGAACACATGAATCTCCAGTGTGAACACATGAATCTCCTGTGAACACATGAATCTCCTGTGTGAACACATGAATCTCCTGTGTGAACACATGAATCTCCTGTGTATAATATGTATATAATATGTATATTGCAGCAGCTGGCGGAGGCCCTGGAGCGCCTGCGTTCCCAGGGGAAGGATTTAAAGGACGCACATTCCCAGAGGAAGTTGGCGCTGCAGGAGTTCTCAGAGCTGTCGGAGAAGATGGCCGACTTGCGATCGTCCAAGCAGCGAATCAGCCGTCAGCTGCGAGACAAAGAGGAGGAGCTAGACGCCCTGCTGGGGAAGATGGACGCCATGAGGCAGGAGATCCGCAAGACCGAGAAAATCCGCAAAGAGGTGAGTTATAAAAAAACGAGGGGGGGGGAATAACTCACCTGTCTGCATACCATCAGACTCCTGATTGGTGGCCAGAGCCTTATATATGTTAAGCCCCTCCCCTTAGGCCAACCCACTGCTCATCAAATTAATGAAACTAATAATAAATATCTACTAAAGTATTCCCAGTTATCTTAAAATAATTGTGTTTGTCAGCTGGAAGCTCAGCTGAACGATTCACTCACTTCCTGTCTGTCAGACCTTCAGAATAAAAGCATGTGTTTTTCAGCTGGAGGCTCAGCTGGACGATTCACTCACTTCCTGTCTGTCAGACCTTCAGAATAAAAGCAGTGTGTGTTTGTCAGCTGGAGGCTCAGCTGAACGATTCACTCACTTCCTGTCTGTCAGACCTTCAGAATAAAAGCATGTGTTTTTCAGCTGGAGGCTCAGCTGGACGATTCACTCACTTCCTGTCTGTCAGACCTTCAGAATAAAAGCAGTGTGTGTTTGTCAGCTGGACGATTCACTCACTTCCTGTCTGTCAGACCTTCAGAATAAAAGCATGTGTTTTTCAGCTGGAGGCTCAGCTGGACGATTCACTCACTTCCTGTCTGTCAGACCTTCAGAATAAAAGCATCATGTGTTTTTCAGCTGGAGGCTCAGCTGGACGATTCACTCACTTCCTGTCTGTCAGACCTTCAGAATAAAAGCATCTTGTGTTTTTCAGCTGGAGGCTCAGCTGGACGATGCGAAGGCCGAGGCTTCGAAGGAGAGGAAGCTGAGGGAGCACAGTGAGGGATTCTGCAGCCAGCTGGAGGAGGAGCTGCAGGGTCTGAAGGTACACACACACACACACACACACACACACACACACAGGGTCTGAAGGTACACAACAGACTGTTGTATTTAATGTTAAAGCTGGTTGTGTCCCAGTCTCTGCAGGGCCGCGGGGGGGCAGTGGGGGGGGTCCCAGCAGGAGCTGATGCGTCTGAAGGCAGAACTCGATAAGAAGGTTCTTTTCTACGAGGAGGAGCTGCTGAGGAGAGACTCGACCCACTCCTCCGACCTCAAGAACCACCGGAAAGACCTGCAGGAGGCTGAGGGGGGGGCGCTGTCCGCCACCAAGGAACTGCTGCAGCTCAGGGACCGGCTGGACAAGGACAAGAGGGACAGGTGAGGGGGGGGACAGGTGAGGGGGGACAGGTGAGGGGGTCTCTATCGTAAGTGGTCCTGAAGCAGCTTGTGTTTTTGCCTCAGACACCTGGAGATGGAATGAAGCTGTTTCTTGCGCTGAAGGAGAAGTCTGAGCGAGAGAAGCACCTGCTGACGCAAGACAACCCCAAACTGACGGCAGAAACTGACAAGGTGATAAACCAATTCCATTCCCGTTCTGCACATGCTCAGAGAGTCTCTGGTGGTTCTGCACATGCTCAGTGAGTCTCTGGTGGTTCTGCACATGCTCAGTGAGTCTCTGGTGGTTCTGCACATGCTCAGAGAGTCTCTGGTGGTTCCTGCACATGCTCAGAGAGTCTCTGGTTGGTTCTGCACATGCTCAGTGAGTCTCTGGTGGTTCTGCACATGCTCAGTGAGTCTCTGGTGGTTCTGCACATGCTCAGTGAGTCTCTGGTGGTTCTGCACATGCTCAGAGAGTCTCTGGTGGTTCTGCACATGCTCAGAGAGTCTCTGGTGGTTCTGCACATGCTCAGGAGTCTCTGGTGGTTCTGCACATGCTCAGAGGTCTCTGGTGGTTCTGCACATGCTCAGTGAGTCTCTGGTGGTTCTGCACATGCTCAGTGAGTCTCTGGTGGTTCTGCACATGCTCAGAGAGTCTCTGGTGGTTCTGCACATGCTCAGAGAGTCTCTGGTGGTTCAGCACATGCTCAGTGAGTCTCTGGTGGTTCTGCACATGCTCAGTGAGTCTCTGGTGGTTCTGCACATGCTCAGAGAGTCTCTGGTGGTTCAGCACATGCTCAGTGAGTCTCTGGTGGTTCAGCACATGCTCAGTAGGCATCTCTTCTTCTTCTTACAGCTGTGTGCATTTGTGGACAAATTGACGGCTCAGAACCGTCAGCTGGAGGACGAGCTGCAGGATCTGTCGTCCAAGAAGGAGAGCGTGAGCCACTGGGAGGCGCAGATCGCTGAGATCATCCAGTGGTGAGGGAGGGTCAGCGCTCTATAAATAACATGTATTATTATTTGTATTATTAACATGTGTCTGTGTTCAGGGTGAGCGATGAGAAGGATGCTCGAGGCTACCTTCAGGCTCTGGCCACCAAGATGACGGAGGAGTTGGAAACTCTGAGGAGCTCCAGTGTGGGAACAAGACCTCTGGTAACACACTTACACACACACACACACACACACACACTCACACACTCACACACACACTCACACACACACACACACAAACACACTCTCTTAAATAGAAAGAGGAAGAGTGTCCTTACAGTGAATCAGTTATTGTGTGTGTGTGTGTGTGTATCTTTTAATCTGCCGTCTCAGCCTGAGTCAGGAGTGGACACACCTCCTAAGAAGCCCTGGCCTCCTATTGGTGGAGACAGGAGGGTGAGTGTGTCGGTCACTGCTTCCAGCCCATCAGGATTCACATTCAAAGAAGCTTGCATGGCTATTGGCTGGCATGTGTGTCACTCATAATCACAAAACATGGGTTACAGTCTTTCTAGGGTCCTTCAGGAACTCCTAGGGTCCTTCAGGAACTCCTAGGGTCCTTCAGGAACTCCTAGGGTCCTTCAGGAACTCCTAGGGTCCTTCAGGAACTCCTAGGGTCCTAGGGTCATTCAGGAACTCCTAGGGTCCTTCAGGAACTCCTAGGGTCCTTCAGGTACTCCTAGGGTCCTTCATTTAGTTTGGGGTATTTATTTTTTTTCTTTTTTTAATATATTTTTTATTGACATTTGGCAGCAAACAATTACAGTGTTTTTTCAAGACATAATAATTGTACATTTTCAGTTTGTCTGTCCGAAATGCCTTTTTCTTTTTTTTTGCACAAAGATAAAATAAAGACAGTAAAAAGTACGAACAATACGAACATTAGGGAGCGATCAGGACTTCAGTGAAAAGTAGGAACATTAGAGAGTGATCAGGACTTCAGTGAAAAGTAGGAACATTAGAGAGCGATCAGGACTTCAGTGAAAAGTAGGAACATTAGAGAGAGATCAGGACTTCAGTGAAAAGTAGGAACATTAGAGAGCGATCAGGACTTCAGTGAAAAGTAGGAACATTAGAGAGAGATCAGGACTTCAGTGAAAAGTAGGAACATTAGAGAGCGATCAGGACTTCAGTGAAAAGTAGGAACATTAGAGAGAGATCAGGACTTCACAGTGAAAAGTAGGAACATTAGAGAGAGATCAGGACTTCAGTGAAAAGTAGGAACATTAGAGAGAGATCAGGACTTCAGTGAAAAGTAGGAACATTAGAGAGCGATCAGGACTTCAGTGAAAAGTAGGAACATTAGAGAGAGATCAGGACTTCAGTGAAAAGTAGGAACATTAGAGAGCGATCAGGACTTCAGTGAAAAGTAGGAACATTAGAGAGAGATCAGGACTTCAGTGAAAAGTAGGAACATTAGAGAGAGATCAGGACTTCAGTGAAAAGTAGGAACATTAGAGAGTGATCAGGACTTCAGTGAAAAGTAGGAACATTAGAGAGAGATCAGGACTTCAGTGAAAAGTAGGAACATTAGAGAGAGATCAGGACTTCAGTGAAAAGTAGGAACATTAGAGAGTGATCAGGACTTCAGTGAAAAGTAGGAACATTAGAGAGCGATCAGGACTTCAGTGAAAAGTAGGAACATTAGAGAGCGATCAGGACTTCAGTGAAAAGTAGGAACATTAGAGAGTGATCAGGACTTCACAGTAAAATCGTACGTTTGTCAAAATAAAATCTGGCCTTTGAGGTTTTACGGAATCAGTCCACTTTCTCCATCGTGACACAAGTAGTTCCAGTTTGTGATGGAGAGCCGCAGTGACGCGTCCTAAAACCCGGAAGTAAACTTCTTCCGGTTCCTTCGACAAAAATGCGATTTCTCCAGAGGATTTAGGAAGCTGGAACTAAGGTCTGTGGTTGAGACGCATTGAAGAGACGGATCACGTTTTGTTCAGTCGGATAATCTCCACACGTCTACCCTACTTTTATCATTTTCTAATCGATAGATTTATGATCGATAGATTTATGATTCGAAGAAGTTTACTTCCGGGTTTTAGGACGCGTTACTGCGGTTCTCTATAGACCACACTGATGGTGATCAAACTCAAGGCCCGGGGGCCAAATCAGGCCCGTGGTGGATTTAATTTCGGCCCGCAGGATAATTTCTAATTTCTATTAGATCTGGCCCTCCGGTATATTGCACCTTCACTCCATCCTGAGGGTCTCCTCAGCTCAGAGCCTGACCCCAAACTGAGGGTCTCCTCAGCTCAGAGCCTGACCCCATCCTGAGGGTCTCCTCAGCTCAGAGCCTGACCCCATCCTGAGGGTCTCCTCAGCTCAGAGCCTGACCCCATCCTGAGGGTCTCCTCAGCTCAGAGCCTGACCCCAAACTGAGGGTCTCCTCAGCTCAGAGCCTGACCCCATCCTGAGGGTCTCCTCAGCTCAGAGCCTGACCCCAAACTGAGGGTCTCCTCAGCTCAGAGCCTGACCCCATCCTGAGGGTCTCCTCAGCTCAGAGCCTGACCCCAAACTGAGGGTCTCCTCAGCTCAGAGCCTGACCCCAAACATTGATGACCTTGCACCCAAGATGAGATGCCAAGTATCTGAACTAGCATCACAGAGCAGCACACTGACTTCACATGTTTCCTTCTGCACTTTCTCTCGACAACAGAGCGTGTTTGGTTTGTTCTTTGAGGGAAATAGTTTTGTTGAAGTTGTTGTTGGCCTGTGGAGAAATGTACTCATAAGAAATGACTCTGGAGAAGCTGCAGATCGAGCCATAAGAAATGAATGCAACTGATTATTTAATGTTTAATGTTGTTTTTATAGGCAATCATTGAAGCTTTGTTAGTTCCAATAAATGTATACTTTATACTCAGTTATGACTGTTTTCCATACTTTCAGACTCAGTTGTACCCGTGGGTTCTCAAAGTGATGTCTGCAGCCCTGTAGGTCGCTGCCAGCTATGATTGCTTGTATGGGAATGGATCATATGTTCTCCATGGTTCTCCATTGGGCATCATACGATGGATGGCACCAGCATACCATGGCCTCAGCTGTGCTGCCCGCTAATACTCCTTAAGGGAAGGTAGAGCCCACCCCCCCTTTTCTTTTGATAATTGTAAAGTTTTAAATCAAATGCTAGGTCTTTTAGCCTGCCATATATACCTTGATATTATTCTGTCCCACTCGTTAAATAGTTTTTGTTTAATCTCTATTGGTAAGGTCTGGAACAAATCAAGTAGTCTTGGCAGTATGTTCAATTTGATGGATTCAATTCTTGAGCTGAGACTAAAGAAAGGGATTAGGTTCCATCGAGCTATGTCCTCCTTCATCTTTTTGTTTAAATGTGGGTAATTGTATTCTGATAGTTCTGAAAGATCCTTTGGTATTATAACGCCTAATTATTTGAAATGCTCGGTGTGCCATGCCAAAGGGTATCTATTTCTAATTGCACCTGGTGGGCTGTAGTTGTAAGTAAGCAATTGTGTTTTAGCAATATTGACCTTGTATCCTGACAGTCGGCCATGTTGGTCAAGTGATTGCATCAATTTAGGGAGAGAGTTTGTTGGTTGAGCCAAAAAAAACAAAATGTCGTCCGCGTAGCCAGCCAGCTTGTGATTAGTAATTCCCCCAATCTCTTCATTTTGTCTTATTGAGCCAATGGTTCCAAGTATAGCGCGAAGAGTAGCGGTGACCATGCACAGCCTTGTCTCGAGCCTCTTTCGAGGGTAATGCTATTTGACAAATATCCATTAACTTTCATTCTAGCAGGCTTGTTGTATAATGCCTGTACAGTTTTAATAATTGTGTCATGTATACCAAATCTATGTAGAACTCGATAGAGAAAATCCCAATTTACCGAGTCAAAAGCCTTTTCAGCATCCACGCTTATCACCATTGCCTCAATTTGACTTCTTTGAATGTGGTCTATGATATGTAGTGTCCTTCGTATGTTGTCTTGTGTTTGACGTTGTCGAACACAACCTGTCTGGTCATTGTGGATCAATTTAGGCAGGAGTTGTTCTAATCGTCTGGCCATGATGGAAGTCAAAAGCCTGTGATCCACAGAACAGATATTGGTCTGAATGATCCACGCTCCATTTGATCCTTTCCTTCTTTTGGTATTGCAGATATGATCGCTTCGTTCCAGCTGGGTGGTGTTTGAGCCTTTTTTAAGACCCAATTGAGTGTCCAGTGTTTCCCCTAGGATGGAGTCATAGCAGCTAAGGCACGTGGGCCCAGCATAATGTGAGCGCGGAGCGCGTGGAATTTTTTACATCGCACGCTCACTGCTTGATAGCGTGAAGGTCCGTTTACGCCGGTTGTTAAACAACATCGATATGGGGAAATGCAAGTCTGCGTCCAAATGGTTGGAAGATCAGGAGGAAGGACAATCAATACTGTATATAGTCAATGTGAGGTAAAGTGTGTCGCCAAGGTAACCGGTTAAAACTCCAAGTGGCGATGAGGTCTTAAAATGTATGGAAAGGGTCTTAAAAAAGGTCTTAAAAGGTTTTACATTTGACTTCAGGATTCCTGCATATACCCTGTTCAGTAACTCACCCTAACCCTAACCCAAACTCTCAGGGTCTTTCTAAGGTCCCTCAGTAACTCGCAGGGTCTTTCTAAGGTCCCTCAGTAACTCTCAGGTTCTTTCTAAGGTCCCTCAGTAACTCTCAGGGTCTTTCTAAGGTCCTTCAGTAACTCTCAGGGTCTTTCTAAGGTCCTTCAGTAACTCTCAGGGTCTTTCTAAGATCCTTCAGTAACTCTCAGGGTCTTTCTAAGGTCCTTCAGTAACTCTCAGGTTCTTTCTAAGGTCCTTCAGTAACTCTCAGGCTCCTTCTAAGGTCCTTCAGTAACTCTCAGGGTCTTTCTAAGGTCCCTCAGTAACTCTCAGGGTCTTTCTAAGGTCCTTCAGTAACTCTCAGGGTCTTTCTAAGATCCTTCAGTAACTCTCAGGGTCTTTCTAAGGTCCCTCAGTAACTCTCAGGGTCCTTCTAAGGTCCTTCAGTAACTCTCAGGGTCTTTCTAAGGTCCCTCAGTAACTCTCAGGGTCCTTCTAAGGTCCTTCAGTAACTCTCAGGGTCTTTCTAAGGTCCCTCAGTAACTCTCAGGTTCTTTCTAAGGTCCTTCAGTAACTCTCAGGGTCTTTCTAAGGTCCTTCAGTAACTCTCAGGGTCCTTCTAAGGTCCCTCAGTAACTCTCAGGGTCTTCTAAGGTCCTTCAGTAACTCTCAGGGTCTTTCTAAGGTCCCTCAGTAACTCTCAGGTTCTTTCTAAGGTCCTTCAGTAACTCTCAGGGTCTTTCTAAGGTCCTTCAGTAACTCTCAGGGTCCTTCTAAGGTCCCTCAGTAACTCTCAGGTTCTTTCTAAGGTCCTTCAGTAACTCTCAGGGTCTTTCTAAGGTCCTTCAGTAACTCTCAGGGTCCTTCTAAGGTCCCTCAGTAACTCTCAGGGTCTTTCTAAGGTCCTTCAGTAACTCTCAGGGTCTTTCTAAGGTCCTTCAGTAACTCTCAGGGTCCTTCTAAGGTCCTTCAGTAACTCTCAGGGTCCTTCTAAGGTCCTTCAGTAACTCTCAGGGTCCTTCTAAGGTCCTTCAGTAACTCTCAGGGTCTTTCTAAGGTCCCTCAGTAACTCTCAGGGTCCTTCTAAGGTCCTTCAGTAACTCTCAGAGTCCTTCTAAGGTCCCTCAGTAACTCTCAGGGTCTTTCTAAGGTCCTTCAGTAACTCTCAGGGTCTTTCTAAGGTCCTTCAGTAACTCTCAGGGTCCTTCTAAGGTCCCTCAGTAACTCTCAGGGTCTTTCTAAGGTCCTTCAGTAACTCTCAGGGTCCTTCTAAGGTCCTTCAGTAACTCTCAGGGTCCTTCTAAGGTCCCTCAGTAACTCTCAGGGTCCTTCTAAGGTCCTTCAGTAACTCTCAGGGTCCTTCTAAGGTCCTTCAGTAACTCTCAGGGTCTTTCTAAGGTCCTTCAGTAACTCTCAGGGTCTTTCTAAGGTCCTTCAGTAACTCTCAGGGTCCTTCTATGGTCCTTCAGTAACTCTCAGGGTCCTTCTATGGTCCTTCAGTAACTCGCAGGGTCTTTCTAAGGTCCTTCAGTAACTCGCAGGGTCTTTCTAAGGTCCCTCAGTAACTCTCAGGGTCTTTCTAAGGTCCTTCAGTAACTCCCAGGGTCCTTCTAAGGTCCTTCAGTAACTCTCAGGGTCCTTCTAAGGTCCTTCAGTAACTCTCAGGGTCCTTCTAAGGTCCTTCAGTAACTCTCAGGGTCCTTCTAAGATCCTTCAGTAACTCTCAGGGTCTTTCTAAGGTCCTTCAGTAACTCTCAGGGTCTTTCTAAGGTCCTTCAGTAACTCTCAGGGTCTTTCTAAGGTCCCTCAGTAACTCTCAGGGTCTTTCTAAGGTCCTTCAGTAACTCTCAGGGTCCTTCTAAGGTCCTTCAGTAACTCTCAGGGTCTTTCTAAGGTCCTTCAGTAACTCTCAGGGTCTTTCTAAGGTCCTTCAGTAACTCTCAGGGTCTTTCTAAGGTCCTTCAGTAACTCTCAGGGTCTTTCTAAGGTCCTTCAGTAACTCTCAGGGTCCTTCTAAGGTCCTTCAGTAACTCTCAGGTTCTTCAGGTATAATATGGTATTGTGTTGATGTTTTGCGTTTGTCATGGCTACATGCTTGCTGTCTGAAAGCTGCTGATTGGTGCTGTTTTTGCCGTGGTTACTGGCTGTCTGAATGACCTGCCCCTGCCCCCCCCCCAGGACCCCCTATGGAAGGTGCGTCGCAGCCAAAAGCTGGACATGTCGGCTCGGCTGGAGCTGCAGTCGGCTCTGGAGGCCGAGATCAAAGCCAAGCAGCTCGTCCAGGAGGAAGTGAGACGAGTGAAGGCCAACAACATCAGTCTGGAGAGGTACACACACACACACACACACACACACACACACACACACACACACACACACACACACACACACACACAGACACACACACACACACACACACACACACACACAGTAGACAAGTCGAGTACCTTTACCACTACTCTGCGCTGTAGGCCCTAGTCAACTAGTCGTGAACAAAATGGAGGCAAATGTGGGAGATGAGGATGCCGACCTTGGCGCTGAGGTCCTGCAAAATGCTCCAGCAATCTTCCAAAGTCCTCATCTTATGCGCCGCAATTATACGCTCTACAGTTTCAGTTTTAGCTCCGGCACTAAAAGTTCACGAGCGTGCTCCACTAACACCCCCCTTTGAACATCTGTTTGGACCTCATTTCGAGAGCAACAAGAAAACACGGGTCAACAGTGGCGCGGATGAGCTACGGGATTACTGCTAGCAGACACCCCCATACCCCCACAATGGATAACCCTCTGGAGTGGTGGGCACAAAACACAAACCGCTTCCCCCGTTTAGCCAAGCTTTCCAGGAGCTACCTGGCTAGCCACCAGGAGCTACCTGGCTAGCCACCAGGAGCTACCTGGCTAGCCACCAGCGCCCCAAGTGAACGGATGGTTTCCCTGGCAGGCAACACTGTCACGCGACAGCGGTCAAGCCTCCTTCCCTCACATGTTGATGCTTTGGTCTTCCTTAACGCAAACCAAAAAACCTGGAAGGGTGGACATCGTTATCAAGGAGGACAGTGACAAGGTTCAAGGTTTCAAGGTTCTTTATTTTGTCATACGAACATAGCTACAGTGTAGTTATGCCGATGAAAATATTAGGTCACAGGCTTTTCCAACAGAGCAACACAATAACACAGATAAACAGAAACATATAGTGCAAGTAAATAGTAGATAGTAAATACAAAAAGTGAAATATTGCAATAAGAGTCTATATGCAAGCTATTGGAATGATATATTAGATAAATAGATAAATAATTACTAAGTAGCAGATGAATGTTATGGATGTTGTTTCAAAGTTCAGGTGTTTAACAGTCTTATGGCCTGTGGGATGAAGCTGTCTCTGAATCTGGTGGTTTTAGTCCGGATGCTGCGGTAACGCCTGCCAGACGGCAGCAGACTGAACAGTTTGTGGCTGGGGTGATGGGGGTCTTTTATAATCCTGAGGGCTTTCTTCCTGAGCCGCTGGGAGTAAAGGTCCTCCATGGATGGCAGCTCCGTCCTGGTGATGTTCTGTGCAGTTTTCACCGCCCTCTGTAAAGCCTTACGATTGAGGGCGGGGCAGCTGCCGTACCAGGCCGTCATGCTGCCAGTCAGGATATACAGCGAGTTCAGTGTTGCGCAATGCGCACTGGATTTACGTTGCATTTATGTTCTCAACAGAGTTTTTAGATTGCAGTGGTGAGTCCAGTTACCGTTTTTAATTTAATCAGCCATGTAACAGAATGTAACACAAATTAAAATGCTTTGTTACAGTGTTTAATGTAACTGTATGAATTGCAATACAAAATACCATTTTACACCTCTCTTTGTGTGTCTTTATTATGACGTAACAACTAGTCGACTGCTATTTTTAAAAACTTGTCGACTAGTAAATATTGGTAGTTGTGAAACCCCTAACACACAGACACAGACAGACACAGTATCAACTGTCTTGTGTGTCTGTCTGCAGTAAGCTGAAGGAGTCTGAAGAGAGGAGTCTGGAGATGGTGGAGCAGATAGAGAGTCTGAAGAGAGAGGTGTCTCGTTCTGACAAAGGTGAGACAAGTCCATCTGTTCCCTCAGGTCCACTTGTTCCCTCAGGTCCACCTCTTCCCTCAAGTCCATCTGTTCCCTCAGGTCCACCTCTACCCTCAAGTCCATCTGTTCCCTCAGGTCCACCTCTTCCCTCAAGTCCATCTGTTCCCTCAGGTCCACTTGTTCCCTCAGGTCCACCTCTTCCCTCAAGTCCATCTGTTCCCTCAGGTCCACCTCTTCCCTCAAGTCCATCTGTTCCCTCAGGTCCACCTCTTCCCTCAGGTCCACCTCTTCCCTCAAGTCCATCTGTTCCCTCAGGTCCACTTGTTCCCTCAGGTCCACCTCTTCCCTCAAGTCCATCTGTTCCCTCAGGTCCACTTGTTCCCTCAGGTCCACTTGTTCCCTCAGGTCCACCTCTTCCCTCAGGTCCACCTCTTCCCTCAGGTCCACCTCTTCCCTCAGGTCCACCTCTTCCCTCAAGTCCACCTCTTCCCTCAAGTCCATCTGTTCCCTCAAGTCAATCTGTTCCCTCAGGTCCACTTGTTCCCTCAGGTCCACTTGTTCCCTCAAGTCCATCTGTTCCCTCAGGTCCACCTCTTCCCTCAGGTCCACCTCTTCCCTCAAGTCCACCTCTTCCCTCAAGTCCACCTGTTCCCTCAAGTCAATCTGTTCCCTCAGGTCCACCTATTCCCTCAAGTCCAACTATTCCCTCAAGTCCACCTATTCCCTCAGGTCCACCTATTCCCTCAGGTCCACCTATTCCCTCAAGTCCACCTATTCCCTCAGGTCCACCTATTCCCTCAAGTCAATCTGTTCCCTCAAGTCCACCTATTCCCTCAGGTCCACCTGTTCCCTCAAGTCAATCTATTCCCTCAAGTCCACCTATTCCCTCAGGTCCACCTGTTCCCTCAGGTCCACCTGTTCCCTCAAGTCCACCTATTCCCTCAGGTCCACCTGTTCCCTCAAGTCCACCTATTCCCTCAAGTCCACCTGTTCCCTCAGGTCCACCTGTTCCCTCAAGTCCACCTATTCCCTCAGGTCCACCTATTCCCTCAGGTCCACCTATTCCCTCAGGTCCACCTATTCCCTCAGGTCCACCTATTCCCTCAGGTCCACCTATTCCCTCAGGTCCACCTGTTCCCTCAAGTCCACCTATTCCCTCAGGTCCACCTGTTCCCTCAAGTCCACCTATTCCCTCAAGTCCACCTATTCCCTCAGGTCCACCTATTCCCTCAAGTCAATCTGTTCCCTCAAGTCCACCTATTCCCTCAGGTCCACCTGTTCCCTCAAGTCCACCTATTCCCTCAAGTCCACCTATTCCCTCAGGTCCACCTATTCCCTCAGGTCCACCTATTCCCTCAAGTCCACCTATTCCCTCAGGTCCACCTATTCCCTCAGGTCCACCTGTTCCCTCAAGTCCACCTATTCCCTCAGGTCCACCTGTTCCCTCAAGTCCACCTATTCCCTCAAGTCCACCTATTCCCTCAGGTCCACCTATTCCCTCAAGTCAATCTGTTCCCTCAGGTTCACCTGTTACCTCAGAGCCACCTGTTCCCTCAGAGCCACCTGTTCCCTCAGAGCCACCTGTTCCCTCAGAGCCACCTCTTCCCTCAGAGCCACCTGTTCCCTCAGAGCCACCTGTTCCCTCAGAGCCACCTGTTCCCTCAGAGCCACCTGTTCCCTCAGGTCCACCTGTTCCCTCAGAGCCACCTGTTCCCTCAGGTCCACCTGTTCTCTCAGGTCCACCTGTTCTCTCAGGTGTTCAGGTCTCTCCTTAATAACAGATAGACCCTTCTTTTTGCAGGTCTGAAGCTCCCTGACTTCCAGGACTCTATCTTTGAATATTTCAACACTTCTCCTCTGGCCCCGGACCTCACCTTCAGAGTGAGTCACCTGTCTGTCTTTCTGTCTGTCTCACCTGCTTCCTTGTGTTCTGCATCCTGTTTTTACTTGAAATATAAGTTTACATACAGTTTGATTTGACGATGATGTCACTCAGGTGTGTATGTTGGTCAGTTAGCTCCGCCTACTTGCTGCTGGCTCTCCTGGAAGACCTGAGTTACCCACAATCCTCTGGGGCAGCTAGCTGTCCGATGCCGTTAACACAAGCTAACCCCTGCTGTTGTTAACGTGTCTCTTTGACCTGTAGACCGCCGACTTTGAGTCCCCCCCCCTGAAACCAGAGGCCACAACCCCATCGCCCTGCACCGAGGTCAGTCTCACTGTGTGTGTTTGTGTGTGAGTGTGTGTGAGTGTGTGTTAGTGTGTGTTTGTGTTAGTGTGTTTGTTATTGTGTGTATACCTACATGTCTAATAGACTAAGATGAGCTAAAGGTTGAATGTAGGCTGAAATGCTGAACAGTGAAATAGATGCTTGTGAGATGCAATATGATCGATGTCCACAGGAAGTGAGACCGGCATCAGTCCCTGTGAGCCCCATCCCCCCCACCCAGAGCTCACTGACCACACCAAAGGTAAACAATCAACCTGGTCCGTCAGTTGATCCAAGAATCGTCAGTGGATCCCAGAGACGCACTGATACCGATGTACTTTGTGATCTTGGTTTTCTAAATACACTTTGATGTGTTCACAGCCCAAAGTTCACCAGTTGAGCATCAAGACCTTCTCCAGTCCAGCCCAGTGCACCCACTGCACCTCGCTGATGGTGGGACTCATCCGACAGGGATTCGCCTGTGAAGGTACACCTGAAGAGCACTGCAGATAAACCTGGTCCAGACCCTCTAACTTTAGATCTGGGACCTGGATTTAGTTTGAGGGTTGACTGGTGCACAAAGGAGGGCCTCCACTCTGTAGGGCTTCAGTCTTACTGAGGGACCCTGTACCTCCATTGTAACATTAAGACTTCCTGTCTCTCATTAACACTTCCTGTCTCCCTCAGTTTGTTCCTTCGTCTGCCACGCCTCCTGCAAGGACCAGGCCCCCCCGCTCTGTCCAATCCCAGCCGAGCAGGCCAAGAGGCCGGCAGGCATCGACGTCCAGAGGGGCATCGGCACCGCCTACAGGGGCTACGTCAGGGTGAGTCATTGGGGGGGAGGCACTGCCTACAGGGGCTACGTCAGGGTAAGTCATGGGGGGGGAGGCACTGCCTACAGGGGCTACGTCAGGGTAAGTCATTGGGGGGGAGGCACTGCCTACAGGGGCTACGTCAGGGTCAGTCATTGGGGGGGAGGCACTGCCTACAGGGGCTACGTCAGGGTGAGTCATTGGGGGGGAGGGCACTGCCTACAGGGGCTACGTCAGGGTGAGTCATTGGGGGGGAGGCACTGCCTACAGGGGCTACGTCAGGGTAAGTCATGGGGGGGGCACTGCCTACAGGGGCTACGTCAGGGTGAGTCATTGGGGGGGAGGCACTGCCTACAGGGGCTACGTCAGGGTAAGTCATGGGGGGGGAGGCACTGCCTACAGGGGCTACGTCAGGGTGAGTCATTGGGGGGGAGGCACTGCCTACAGGGGCTACGTCAGGGTGAGTCATTGGGGGGGGAGGCACTGCCTACAGGGGCTACGTCAGGGTGAGTCATTGGGGGGGAGGGCACTGCCTACAGGGGCTACGTCAGGGTGAGTCATTGGGGGGGAGGCACTGCCTACAGGGGCTACGTCAGGGTGAGTCATTGGGGGGGGAGGCACTGCCTACAGGGGCTACGTCAGGGTAAGTCATGGGGGGGAGGCACTGCCTACAGGGGCTACGTCAGGGTGAGTCATTGGGGGGGGAGGCACTGCCTACAGGGGCTACGTCAGGGTGAGTCATTGGGGGGGAGGGCACTGCCTACAGGGGCTACGTCAGGGTCAGTCATTGGGGGGGAGGCACTGCCTACAGGGGCTACGTCAGGGTGAGTCATTGGGGGGGGAGGCACTGCCTACAGGGGCTACGTCAGGGTGAGTCATTGGGGGGGGGGCACTGCCTACAGGGGCTACGTCAGGGTAAGTCATGGGGGGGGAGGCACTGCCTACAGGGGCTACGTCAGGGTGAGTCATTGGGGGGGGGGCACTGCCTACAGGGGCTACGTCAGGGTGAGTCATTGGGGGGGAGGGCACTGCCTACAGGGGCTACGTCAGGGTCAGTCATTGGGGGGGAGGCACTGCCTACAGGGGCTACGTCAGGGTGAGTCATTGGGGGGGGAGGGCACTGCCTACAGGGGCTACGTCAGGGTGAGTCATTGGGGGGGAGGCACTGCCTACAGGGGCTACGTCAGGGTAAGTCATGGGGGGGGGCACTGCCTACAGGGGCTACGTCAGGGTAAGTCATGGGGGGGCACTGCCTACAGGGGCTACGTCAGGGTAAGTCATGGGGGGGGGGCACTGCCTACAGGGGCTACGTCAGGGTGAGTCATGGGGGAGGGCACTGCCTACAGGGGCTACGTCAGGGTGAGTCATTGGGGGGGGGGCACTGCCTACAGGGGCTACGTCAGGGTAAGTCATGGGGGGGGAGGCACTGCCTACAGGGGCTACGTCAGGGTGAGTCATGGGGGGGAGGGCACTGCCTACAGGGGCTACGTCAGGGTGAGTCATTGGGGGGGAGGCACTGCCTACAGGGGCTACGTCAGGGTGAGTCATTGGGGGGGGGGGCACTGCCTACAGGGGCTACGTCAGGGTCAGTCATTGGGGGGGAGGCACTGCCTACAGGGGCTACGTCAGGGTCAGTCATTGGGGGGGAGGCACTGCCTACAGGGGCTACGTCAGGGTGAGTCATTGGGGGGGAGGCACTGCCTACAGGGGCTACGTCAGGGTGAGTCATGGGGGAGGGCACAGCCTACAGGGGCTACGTCAGGGTTATAAATAACTGTGATTGATTGACATTTGTCTCCATCAGATCCCAAAGCCCAGCGGGGTGAAGAAAGGCTGGCAGCGAGCCTTCGCTCTGGTCTCTGACTGCAAACTGTTCCTGTACGACGTCCCAGAGGGAAAGACCCCACAGCCAGGGGTGGTGGCCAGTCTGGTGCTGGATCTCAGGTAACCCCACCTAACCTGACCCAGTCTGGTGCTGGATCTCAGGTAACCCCACCTAAGCTGACCCAGTCTGGTGCTGGATCTCAGGTAACCCCACCTAAGCTGACCCAGTCTGGTGCTGGATCTCGGGTAACCCCACCTAAGCTGACCCAGTCTGGTGCTGGATCTCAGGTAACCCCACCTAACCCCACCTAACCTGACCCAGTCTGGTGCTGGATCTCAGGTAACCCCACCTAACCTGACCCAGTCTGGTGCTGGATCTCAGGTAACCCCACCTAAGCTGACCCAGTCTGGTGCTGGATCTCAGGTAACCCCACCTAAGCTGACCCAGTCTGGTGCTGGATCTCGGGTAACCCCACCTAACTTGACCCAGTCTGGTGCTGGATCTCAGGTAACCCCAAAGAGCTTCAAGGGTTCAGGATCCACTGGCAGTCTGGAGCACCTTGAGATGCAGAGGTCTTTGAAGAGGGTTCAGCTTGGGGAAGAGTTTTGTGTACTGTTTTGAGATTTGAAAAGACAGTCTGTAGTGAATAAAAGCTGCTGCACACATTTTATTCTGGGGGACTTGAAGAGTTTTCTGATATCCAACATACTGTCCCGTGTTCTCCAGAGAGGAGGAGTTCTCCGTCAGCTCGGTCTTGGCGTCAGATGTGATCCACGCCACCAGGAAGGACATCCCCTGCATCTTCAGGGTAGGAAACCCCATCCTCTCTGCCCCCCCGGGTTACTCTCTGACCCCCATGTGACCCCTGTATTTGTTGTGCTCCTGCTCAGGTGACGTCCTCGCAGCTGGTCTCTCAGCTGTCCTCTGTGTCTCTGCTGCTGCTTGCGGAGAGCGAGGTAGAGAAGAGGAAGTGGGTCCGGATCCTGGAGGGTCTGCAGAGCATCCTCACCAAGAACCAGCTAAAGAACCGACAGGTCCACGTGCTGCATGAGGCCTACGACGCCTCGCTGCCCATCATCAAGACCACGCTGTCTGCAGCTGTGCTCGGTCAGAAACCCCCTGAGAGTTATCAACACCTGTCTGTCTGCAGATACACTAACACCTGTCTGTCTGCAGATACACTAACACCTGTCTGTCTGCAGATACACTAACACCTGTCTGTCTGCAGATAAGGAGAGGATCGTCCTGGGAACCGAAGACGGGCTGTTCGTGGTGGAAGTCACCAGAGACGGTGAGAGACAGACAGGTTCAGAGATGATTACTTGGTGCTGTATTGAGTCTGCTGTACTGTATAACACACCGCTGCTGAGGAGGCAGACAGACAGGTTAACAGACAGACAGGAAGTCTCTCTTCTGTAGCATTCACACAGGTGGGGAAGGAAGCTGTAGTTCTGTATCTGGATGGGTTTACACACCCAGTGAAATGTTCTACGTGTTCATGGGAACAAAGGTTTGCGACTTATGTTGTTTAAATATTGTCGGTCACCAGTTTCAGAGGATGGCCAGCAGATGGCAGTATTGCTACACAAACAGTGCATGTGTAATGAGAGTGTGATATGAGGGAGATCACCTGAGTTCACCTGAGATCACCTGAGATCACCTGAGATCACCTGAGATCACCTGAGGAAGTGAGAGTCTGTGTACAGGAAGAGGTGTAGTTAGTGGAACGTGACTTCCTGCTGTTCAGTATTTTATCACGCTACACCTGAAGCACCAGCTAAATGTAATGTGATGTGATGTGATGTGATGTGATGTGATGTGATGTGATGTGATGTGATGTGATGTGATGTGATGTGATGTGATGTGATGTAGTGTGATGTAAAGAGATGTAATGTGATGTGATGTGATGTGATGTAGTGTGATGTAATGTAATGTGACCCCCCTCAGTGATCGTCCGGGCCACAGACAGTAAGAGGGTCCATCAGATAGACCTGATCCCTCAGGAGCAGATCCTGGTTCTGCTGTGCGGGCGGAGCCGCCACGTCCACCTTCACCACTGGGGGGCGCTGGAGGGGGCCGAGGCCTTCGACATCAAGATGCCAGAGACCAAAGGCTGCCAGGCCCTCACCACGGGGGTCCTGAGGCCCGGGGGCCCCGCCTGCCTGCTGGCCGCCGTCAAACGCCAGGTGAGAAACACCTCAGAAACACCGGCGGCAGTAAATGTGTTTTGCTTCTCTTCGTGTCCCACATTCCACATCGCAGAAACTGCATTCAAACATTTATCTCGAACGCTATTACTCCTGACATTCCTAACTTTCAGAATTCCAGACCTGAACCCTAATTCATCCAAATAAAACTAAACGACAAACCCCTTTAGTGCTGATCCTCAGGTGAGCCCAGGTCCTTCAGCATCCACTTTCTCCAGCTCTAATGTTTTCATGGTTGTCAAGCTGCTTTAGAACCAGACTCAGACTCGATGCCCGTGTGGTCTTGATGTCTCGATGCCCGTGTGGTCTTGATGCCCGTGTGGTCTTGATGTCTCGATGCCCGCATGGTCTCGATGCCCGCGTGGTCTTGATGTCTCGATGCCCGTGTGGTCTTGATGCCCGTGTGGTCTTGATGTCTCGATGCCCGCATGGTCTCGATGCCCGCGTGGTCTTGATGTCTCGATGCCCGTGTGGTCTTGATGCCCGTGTGGTCTTGATGTCTCGATGCCCGCATGGTCTCGATGCCCGCGTGGTCTTGATGTCTCGATGCCCGTGTGGTCTCGATGCCCGTGTGGTCTTGATGTCTCGATGCCCGTGTGGTCTCGATGCCCGTGTGGTCTTGATGTCTCGATGCCCGCGTGGTCTTGATGTCTCGATGCCCGTGTGGTCTCGATGCCCGCGTGGTCTTGATGTCTCGATGCCCGTGTGGTCTCGATGCCCGTGTGGTCTCGATGCCCGTGTGGTCTCGATGCCCGCGTGTTCTCGATGCCCGTGTGGTCTCGATGCCCGCGTGTTCTCGATGTCTCGATTCCCGCGTGTTCTCGATTCCCGCGTGTTCTCGATTCCCGCGTGTTCTCGATGCCCGTGTGGTCTCGATGCCGTTTGGTCTCGATGCCCGCGTGGTCTTGATGCCCTTGTCTGCCCCCCCCCCCCCCCCCCCCAGGTCCTGTGCTACGAGATCTCGCGGACGAAGCCCCCCCAGAGGCGGCTGTGGGAGGTGCAGGCCCCGGGGGTGGTGCAGTGGCTGGGTATGCTGAGGGACCGGCTCTGTGTGGGGTACCCGGGGGGCTTCGCTCTGCTGGCCCTGCAGGGGGAGTCGTCCCCCGTCAGCCTGGTGAATCCAGCCGACCCCTCCCTGAACTTCCTGTCGGTTCAGCCTCCTGACGCTCTGCACGCCGCTCAGGTCGGAGTCTCAGAGCTGCTTCTGTGCTTCAGCCTCGTGGCCGTCTACGTGGACGGGCAGGGCCGCCGGTCCAGGGACCACGAGATGATGTGGCCCTCCACGCCGCTGGCCTGCAGTGAGTTACACTACCACCTGTCTGTCTGTCTGTGTCTCAACTGACTGTCTGTCTGTCACCTGTCTGTGGGCTTTAACTCCTCCCACCTGTCTGTCTGCAGGCTCTAACTCCTCCCACCTGTCTGTCTACAGTCCCTAACTCCTCCCACGTGTCTGTCTGCAGGCTCTAACTCCTCCCACCTGTCTGTCTACAGTCTCTAACTCCTCCCACCTGTCTGTCTACAGTCTCTAACTCCTCCCACCAGTCTGTCTGCAGTCTCTAACTCCTCCTACTTGTCTGTCAGAAGGCTCTAACTCCTCCCACCTGTCTGTCTGCAGGCTCTAACTCCTCCCACCAGTCTGTCTGCAGTCTCTAACTCCTCCCACCTGTCTGTCTGCAGGCTCTAACTCCTCCCACCTGTCTGTCTGCAGGCTTTAACTCCTCCCACCTGTCTCTAACTCCTCCCGCCTGTCTGTCAGAATGCTCTAACTCCTCCCACCTGTCTGTCTGCAGGCTCTAACTCCTCCCACCTGACGGTCTACAGCGAGTACGGGCTGGACGTCTTCGACCTTCAGACCTCAGAGTGGATCCAGACCATCTCCCTGTGCAAGGTAACCAATTGCAGCTCAGCACACAGTCACTGTGTAGAACCAGCCAATCACAGCTCAGCAAACAGTCACTGTGTAGAACCAGCCAATCACAGCTCAGTGTTTCCTCAGATCAGACCTCTGAACGTTGAGGGGACGTTAAACCTGCTGAGCTCTGAACCCCCCCGACTCATCTACTTCAGCAACACCTCGTCAGGTAACACACACACACACACACACACACACACACACACCCACACACACACACACACACACACACACACACACACACACACACACACACACACTGTGATAACTAACTCTCTCCTTTCTCTCTCTCTCACCTGTCTGTCTCTCAGAGGGCGTCCTCACCCTCCCCCCCCCCTGTGATCACAGCAGGAAGTTGATGATGAGGACTCGCAGTAAGAGGAAGTTCCTGTTCAAGGTTCCTGAGGAGGAGCGCCAGCAACAGAGGAGGTACATATATATATATATATATACTGTACTATACTATATATATATATATATATATATATAGCTATATATTATATATATATACTGTACTATACTATACTATATATATATATATATATATATATAATATATATATATATATATATATATATATATATATACACTATACAGTGTTTCCCCTACCATTGTCTTGGAGGGGCGCTGCTGCGCCCCGCCAACGGAGCCCTGCGCCCCCCCTGAAATTCAAGGTGTTTTAAAAAAAAAAAAGAAATCAAATTTTTTTTTTTTTTTTATTAATTTATATATATATATCAGGGATGCAAACTTGTCACCTTTCGGCGAAATTCGCCGGTTTTAATCCAAAATAGGTCGTTTGTGTGATTCATGTAGATCTGCAATAAAAATATTTTCGGGGTATGGGGGGGGGGGTCTGGGACCCGGAGTAATCTGCGGCCGCGAGCTGTTATGTGCCATCATGACACGCATGGTGTTCTTATATATATTATAATGCAGCGAGAGCTGTGTGCTGGAGTCTTCCTGTCGGCTCTGCTCATGGATGTAGAATAAGGCTCTGCTGCTCCGCGATGAGGGTCTAGCTTCAGCAGCTACATTACCTACGGGTGCGTTCGTTAATATTAACTGTGCGGTCCGGAGTCACTGTGGCACAGACTGGACCGCTGGTGAACAGCTGTTAGAACGGGCCGTTCAGGTGTTCAGAGCAGAGCTCCCTGTCGGAGCGGCAGAGCGTGATGTGAACTGACAAGTGTTCCTGTCGCAATATTATCGTTGAGCTAGCTAACATCACATATCTGCTAACGTTAGCTTTAGCCTTCGTTTTCAAATAGTGTTTTTCATAGGCTATAAACAGAGGTGGTATAAGTTATATATAATCTTGTACTTGAGTAAAAGTAGAAGTACTCAGATCTTGTACTTGAGTAAAAGTAGAAGTACTCAGATCTTGTACTTGAGTAAAAGTAGAAGTACTTCAGATCTTGTACTTGAGTAAAAGTAGAAGTACTCAGATCTGGTACTTGAGTAAAAGTAGAAGTACTCAGATCTTGTACTTGAGTAAAAGTAGAAGTTACTCAGATCTTGTACTTGAGTAAAAGTAGAAGTACTCAGATCTGGTACTTGAGTAAAAGTAGAGTACTCAGATCTTGTACTTGAGTAAAGTAGAAGTACTCAGATCTTGTTACTTGAGTAAAAGTAGAAGTACTCAGATCTTGTACTTGAGTAAAAGTAGAAGTACTCAGATCTGGTACTTGAGTAAAGTAGAAGTATCAGATCTTGTACTTGAGTAAAAGTAGAAGTACTCAGATCTTGTACTTGAGTAAAAGTAGAAGTACTCAGAGATCTTGTACTTGAGTAAAAGTAGAAGTACTCAGATCTGGTACTTGAGTAAAAGTAGAAGTACTCAGATCTGGTACTTGAGTAAAAGTAGAAGTACTCAGATCTTGTACTTGAGTAAAGTAGAAGTACTCAGATCTGGTACTTGAGTAAAAGTAGAAGTTACTCAGATCTTTGTACTTGAGTAAAGTAGAAGTACTCAGATCTGGTACTTGAGTAAAGTAGAAGTTACTCAGATCTTGTACTTGGAGTAAAAGTAGATAGTACTCAGATCTTGTACTTGAGTAAAAGTAGAAGTACTCAGATCTGGTACTTGAGTAAAAGTAGAAGTACTCAGATCTTGTACTAGAGTAAAAGTAGAAGTCTCAGATCTTGTACTTGGAGTAAAAGTAGAAGTACTCAGATCTTGTACTTGAGTAAAATAGAAGTACTCAGATCTTGTACTTGAGTAAAAGTAGAAGTACTCAGATCTTGTACTTGAGTAAAATAGAAGTACTCAGATCTTGTACTTGAGTAAAAGTAGAAGTACTCAATCTTGTACTAGAGTAAAAGTAGAAGTACTCAGATCTTGTACTTGAGTAAAAGTAGGAAGTACTCAGGTCTTGTACTTGAGTAAAAGTAGAAGTACTCAGGTCTTGTACTTGAGTAAAAGTAGAAGTACTCAGATCTTGTACTAGAGTAAAAGTAGAAGTAACTCAGATCTTGTACTTGAGTAAAGTAGAAGTACTCAGATCTGGTACTTGAGTAAAAGTAGAAGTACTCAGATCTTGTACTTGAGTAAAAGTAGAAGTACTCAGATCTTGTACTTGAGTAAAAGTAGAAGTACTCAGATCTTGTACTTGAGTAAAAGTAGAAGTACTCAGATCTTGTACTAGAGTAAAAGTAGAAGTACTCAGATCTTGTACTAGAGTAAAAGTAGAAGTATTCAGATCTTGTACTTGAGTAAAAGTAGAAGTACTCAGATCTTGTACTTGAGTAAAAGTAGAAGTACTCAGATCTTGTACTTGAGTCAAAGTAGAAGTACTCAGATCTGGTACTTGAGTAAAAGTAGAAGTACTCAGATCTTGTACTTGAGTAAAAGTAGAAGTACTCAGATCTTGTACTTGAGTAAAAGTAGAAGTACTCAGATCTTGTACTTGAGTAAAAAGTAGAAGTACTCAGATCTGGTACTTGAGTAAAAGTAGAAGTACTCAGATCTTGTACTTGAGTAAAAGTAGAAGTACTCAGATCTTGTACTTGAGTAAAAGTAGAAGTACTCAGATCTTGTACTTGAGTAAAAGTAGAAGTACTCAGATCTGGTACTTGAGTAAAAGTAGAAGTACTCAGATCTTGTACTTGAGTAAAAGTAGAAGTACTCAGATCTTGTACTTGAGTAAAAGTAGAAGTACTCAGATCTTGTACTTGAGTAAAAGTAGAAGCACTCAGATATTGTACTTGAGTAAAAGTAGAAGTACTCAGATATTGTACTTGAGTAAAAGTAGAAGTACTCAGATCTTGTACTTGAGTAAAAGTAGAAGTACTCAGATCTGGTACTTGAGTAAAAGTAGAAGTACTCAGATCTTGTACTTGAGTAAAAGTAGAAGTACTCAGATCTGGTACTTGAGTAAAAGTAGAAGTACTCAGATCTTGTACTTGAGTAAAAGTAGAAGTACCTCAGATCTTGTACTTGAGTAAAAGTAGAAGTACTCAGATCTGGTACTTGAGTAAAAGTAGAAGCACTCAGATATTGTACTTGAGTAAAAGTAGAAGTACTCAGATCCTGTACTTGAGTAAAAAGTAGAAGCACTCAGATATTGTACTTGAGTAAAAGTAGAAGTACTCAGATATTGTACTTGAGTAAAAGTAGAAGTACTCAGATCTGTACTTGAGTAAAAGTAGAAGTACTCAGATCTTGTACTAGAGTAAAAGTAGAAGTACTCAGATCTTGTACTTGAGTAAAAGTAGAAGTACTCAGATCTTGTACTTGAGTAAAAGTAGAAGTACTCAGATCTTGTACTTGAGTAAAAGTAGAAGTACTCAGATCTTGTACTTGAGTAAAAGTAGAAAGTACTCAGGTCTTGTACTTGAGTAAAAGTAGAAGTACTCAGGTCTTGTACTTGAGTAAAAGTAGAAGTACTCAGATCTTGTACTAGAGTAAAAGTAGAAGTACTCAGATCTTGTACTTGAGTAAAAGTAGAAGTACTCAGATCTGGTACTTGAGTAAAAGTAGAAGTACTCAGATCTTGTACTTGAGTAAAAGTAGAAGTACTCAGATCTTGTACTTGAGTAAAAGTAGAAGTACTCAGATCTTGTACTTGAGTAAAAGTAGAAGTACTCAGATCTTGTACTAGAGTAAAAGTAGAAGTACTCAGATCTTGTACTAGAGTAAAAGTAGAAGTATTCAGATCTTGTACTTGAGTAAAAGTAGAAGTACTCAGATCTTGTACTTGAGTAAAAGTAGAAGTACTCAGATCTTGTACTTGAGTAAAAGTAGAAGTACTCAGATCTTGTACTTGAGTCAAAGTAGAAGTACTCAGATCTTGTACTTGAGTAAAAGTAGAAGTACTCAGATCTGGTACTTGAGTAAAAGTAGAAGTACTCAGATCTGGTACTTGAGTAAAAGTAGAAGTACTCAGATCTTGTACTAGAGTAAAAGTAGAAGTACTCAGATCTTGTACTTGAGTAAAAGTAGAAGTACTCAGATCTGGTACTTGAGTAAAAGTAGAAGTACTCAGATCTTGTACTTGAGTAAAAGTAGAAGTACTCAGATCTTGTACTTGAGTAAAAGTAGAAGTACTCAGATCTTGTACTTGAGTAAAAGTAGAAGTACTCAGATCTTGTACTAGAGTAAAAGTAGAAGTACTCAGATCTTGTACTTGAGTAAAAGTAGAAGTACTCAGGTCTTGTACTTGAGTAAAAGTAGAAGTACTCAGGTCTTGTACTTGAGTAAAAGTAGAAGTACTCAGATCTTGTACTAGAGTAAAAGTAGAAGTACTCAGATCTTGTACTTGAGTAAAAGTAGAAGTACTCAGATCTGGTACTTGAGTAAAAGTAGAAGTACTCAGATCTTGTACTTGAGTAAAAGTAGAAGTACTCAGATCTTGTACTTGAGTAAAAGTAGAAGTACTCAGATCTTGTACTTGAGTAAAAGTAGAAGTACTCAGATCTTGTACTAGAGTAAAAGTAGAAGTACTCAGATCTTGTACTAGAGTAAAAGTAGAAGTAATTCAGATCTTGTACTTGAGTAAAAGTAGAAGTACTCAGATCTTGTACTTGAGTAAAAGTAGAAGTACTCAGATCTTGTACTTGAGTCAAAGTAGAAGTACTCAGATCTGGTACTTGAGTAAAAGTAGAAGTACTCAGATCTTGTACTTGAGTAAAAAGTAGAAGTACTCAGATCTTGTACTTGAGTAAAAGTAGAAGTACTCAGATCTTGTACTTGAGTAAAAGTAGAAGTACTCAGATCTGGTACTTGAGTAAAAGTAGAAGTACTCAGATCTTGTACTTGAGTAAAAGTAGAAGTACTCAGATCTTGTACTTGAGTAAAAGTAGAAGTACTCAGATCTTGTACTTGAGTAAAAGTAGAAGTACTCAGATCTGGTACTTGAGTAAAAGTAGAAGTACTCAGATCTTGTACTTGAGTAAAAGTAGAAGTACTCAGATCTTGTACTTGAGTA